TGGGATCTATAGTCCAAGACATTCAGATGATACCAGGCTTGGAAAGGCTGCTTTATAATCTAGTTCCCCTTCAGCTACACAATCTTACTGGTGGAAAACCTTGTATTTCCATAGTCCCAGTTTAATGAGCCAAATTAGATCACACAATATAAATAACTAGCTTTTAAAAATGGCCAACAGTCCTATTGTAGGAAAAGATATACAATCTCTCCTGTGCAAGCTATTTTATTGCCTAGCCAGCTAACGGAGGAAGTAATTTGTAAACAGTGTGACCAATTTTTTAAAAAAATCCTTTACAGATTTTTTGCTTCACTTAAGAGGAGAATGCTGAAACAGAGCCAGTCTCATAAGAAGGTGGCATCTTTAGAAGTTGAAATTCTGGAATAACAGGAATGACACCAAGATCACACAGCAAACTTAGCTGAAGAAAATGATCGACAAGATTTAAACTACAAGATTTCTCTTGAAAAGGCATCCTTTCACATGAAAAACAACAGGTGGAGAGCTAGTGCAAGGTGGGCATGGGATTTGAAGAGATTTGCCTCTAACTAGAATTTTAAAATCCTGAAACCCAGCATGTGCCCTGACCGGAAGCAAGAAGAAGAAAAGGAGAAGCGAGTTGCATATCATCTGAAGAAAGAGGAGGCAGCCAGAGCTGTGTGGTCAGCCAAGGAACTTAAGATGACAGATGAGTAACTAGATGAGAAAAGGTGTTGCAGTCTGTAGAATCTTTGAAAGGGATCCAGATCTTAAGAGGCAATAAAATAACTGGTGCTACTAATGTCCAAATGAGCTCTAGAGTAACGTGGAGGGAGTTGGTTTTCTACCTAAGGAAAAGCCTCCAGGCATTTCGAGGAAAGTCAAAGGAATTTAGAGATGTTTGTTATAGTTTGGTCTGTATTTACAGGAGGAATATGACCTCGCGTGCCTAATAAGCACGATACCTCATCCAGATGAACGCGTCCTGGACAAAAAGCAAACAAGCCAGAGTCAAGTGGCTTTTTACGCAGAGAGAGGGGGTGGGAAGGAGGGAGGAGGCAAGTGCAAGCACAGAACAGTCCTTTTCGCCTCAACTCAGAAGTAAAGGAATCCAAACTTAGTTTGCTTTAAGCAATGCCAGGTGTCCTTTGGTTTTCCTTGGTGTGGGTGGCATACACATCTGCCATGGTTTGCTTTTGTGTCAGGGCTTCCTTTTTATTCTGATGGTGTGCCAAGTTAAACGATGGAGGGAGCTACCAGCAAGAACACTTTGCAATTTTCTTTTTGCAATTTTCCTGACTTTGTACTGCTGTCACTTCTAGACAATTTATCGCTGTTTATTTCTTGAAAATAATCCATTTTTGGTTGCTAAAATACGTGTAAATTATTCACCTTGTTAACAGTGCAGCCTGGTAGTGGCATGTATTCTTCTTTAATTGCAGGTCAAAGTTTAGAGTGCCATACAATGAAAGGGTGTTGAAGTGTTTAGCTGGACAGAAGCCAGGTAGAACAGTGGCGGGTGCTAGCATTCATTACTGTGAGTCCTGTAGTGGTGCCTTAGTTTGTAGTCAGCAGGCTTTGTTTTCATTTCCATTTGTAAGGAAATAGGGCAGAGGCTCCGCATTTTTTTCAAACATTTAAGAAAAACTTGGAGAAACTGGATTTTAAAAAATCACTAGAGGTTTCAGAAGGGCAGAGAAAGTCAAATTGGCTAACAAATAAGAGGAATTTCATCCAAGTTTCTTTGAAAGGTCATGCAGGCTTCTACCTTTGCATCACCAGCAAGAACTGTGATTTTAGAAATGACATTTATGAGTACATGTCTAGAAAGGTACAATTATTTCAGCACCCATTAGGTTGTTTTTTGTTGTCTTTTGACTCTTGACTCTGTCAGGCCCCACATGATGATAACTACCAGGGCTTTTTTTGTCATCGAACCAGAAAGGCTTCGGGCACCTTTTTTTCCATTGAATCGTAGGAGATTAGCAGCAACATCCTTAACATAGTGCCTGCAGGCTGCTTTTGTGTCTGCTATCTGACAGTACTTTTTTTTTTTTTTTTACAAAAAAAGCACTGATAACTCCTATACAAGGCTGCTAGAAGGATTATATACACCTCCCTGGGAAGACTCTAAACCAGGCATAGGCAAACATCTGGTGGCCCCCAGATGTTTTTGCCTACAACTCCCATCAGCCCTAGCCAACATGGCTAATGATGAAGGAATCAGGCCAGAAAAGCTGGAGTTTTGCCAAAGAGAAAGTTCAGGCCAGGCTTCTCAACCTGACACATGGGTTGGGCTATAATTCCCATAACTCCTAACTAGGAACTATAGCAATTGTAGTTCATTGTACTGGAAGGCACCAGATTGGGGAAGGTTGCTCTGGGCTCTACACACTGGACAATATGGAAATAACTCATTGTGCCTGGATGCAAAACTGTGGATAGGCTCCTGCCCATTCCCAACAGATGTATTTTTCCAGATCTTCAGACATGATTTCCGATTCAGGCAGCTCAGGAAAAAAAAAGGCTGTGTGTGTGTGTTGACAGGCACATGCCGTGCATACAAACTTGATGGAGACTGTAGTTCTTGGCATGCCTGTACACACAGGTTAAAAAACCCTTGCTTATTAACTTGCTCTTGGCGGTAGTGCGCTAATTTAATTGGGAACCAGTGCTGGGGGTGGGTGGGACAGATGGTCAATGTGTCCTGTTACAGAAGGCAGCCCTCTCTTTGCAGGCATCCTGTATCTGAAGGATTGTCTGGTCCAAGTCTAGAGGAAAAGCTACAGAATTTCCAGAAGGGTAAGTAGCCAGGGCCTCAACATTGCTCTTCAGTGGTAGTAAGCCGCCCCGAGGCTTTGGCGAATGGGGCGGCATAAAAATGTTTTAATAAATAAATAATAAATAATAGTACCTAGGTAGCAGACTGAGCCAGCGTACAAGTGACCTGGTCACAGGCTTCCACATTGTGAGGACCTGTACCAGAATCCCATCTAAATTCTGGCAATCATGTCTACTTCTGCAGCTCATGCATGTTTTATACAAGTCAATATCCAATTTTGTCTTTTTTAGCAATGCATAATGGGCACCCTGTAAGGTGTCACTTCCCTTCTGCCACGCTACTCTAGTTCCATTGAGGAAAAGCCGCACGGGCAGCTACAGTGTTATTCATTGCTGTCTGGCAGCTTGTTCTGAAGGCATGGAGGCTGGCTTGCAGCAGTGAAATTCAGGTTGTGTAACATAAATCTTCAGGATCTTATTTCCAAAACTGGGAGCTATGGTAGAAAAACCATTGCGACTTGAGCAAATACATGATACTTTTGTGGGCCCATTATTTTGTTCAGTTCTTTCAATAATAAGTTCTATGAATATCTTCCCTGGTAGGTCATTTGCTTCCTAGTTTGAGGATAAACAAATTGGCCACCAAAATTAAAAGTTAATATGTGGAATGACAAGTCTAGAGTCCTTTAGCCTGAAATGTCTTTCAATATATTTACAGATACACCTCCTGCTGCATAATTTACTGCCCAGTTCTAAATACTGAGGGGAAGTTGTGCTGATTTTTTTCTAAAACACAGAACATTTTTCTCAAGGTAATTTACAGTTCTTTGTTAGACACAACATTGCATGGCATTGTGCACCACTGAGATTGTTTTGATTGCAGTGTATCAAGGCAGGCTAGATAAGCGCTACAATGTAGTCTGCTTTGGATCCGAGCTAAAAAGCCGAGAACCAATGATGTGGAGTGTGTGCAGAACTTTATCTGAAATCCAGACTTTATTGAAGTTCTAAATGTGGACTCGGGAGTGCAGTAACATTGTAAATGTAGGCTAAGAGCCTGAGTTACTGTGGCCCAACGCATCTGGATATTACTCCATTTGGCACCGTCGTTACTGGTTTTTCGGCACCAGGTAAAGACCTTTTTATTTAAACATCATTTGAATGGTTAAAACATATGATCTGGCCAGGGCAACTTCTTCTTCCTTCTCTTTCTCCTCCTATATTTTTATTTACTTAAGTTATACTGATAATTTTAATCTTATATTTGTAAACCAATGTATTTTTTGTATTTTGTATTTAATGGTAATTTATTATGTGCCATTGTATTTCATTGTATTTTATCGTGTTGTAAGCCGCCCCGAGGTTTCGGCAAGGGGCGGCATAGAAATGTTTAATAATAATAATAATAATAATAATAATAATAATAATAATAATACAAAAGCACAAGGAAAAGAGTTAGCTGCTGTAAGGAGTAATCCACACACTCATGCTTGATAAAGGCCCAATTATGTCTCCATCATCCAGTTGTCCTGCCTCCTTTATGGGACTGTACAGGGACTCCAGATGACAACTTCCACTGAGACTCCCCCTTTCCACATATTGCGTGCAAGTGCCTCGTTCCACACACAACTTCTTGCCATCCTCATTGATACCCAAGCATTAAACATGGATGGCTGCATTGCAGTGGCTATGCATGAGCACATGTTCACCTACAACTTCACCCGCATGACTGCAGCTGCTGGAGAAGCCATTGTTCAGTTGTGACTGGATATGGTGGAAAAATTCCTGCTTTTCCAAAGGTTGCAGAGGAATGTTCCAATACAAAAATATTATTATTAATGATTTCATTTCTATCTGCCCATAGCCCAAATGCTCTGGGTAGTTTACAACATAGAAAAATGTATTCATAAGGAGGAGCTGTTTATTGTAAGCTATCCTGAGATGTTTGTAGGGGACGTGCTAGAAAGGCTTTTAATGAATGAATGAATGAAAATAAGCTCCACACAAAAATGAATGTATTAGCAAAAATAGAATTGAAATATGAATTGCATTGGGAAAATTGCTTATATATAATGCATATGTTAATCAAACTTGCAATTAAAATTCATGTATTATGAGAAATGTACACAAAAATTGTCACAAGTTTTCATGCAAACTACAAAGTTCAGGACAAGCCAAACTTAAAACTGGGTTCTTCCATTTTTGTACACTTTTTACTTTACTCACTTTTAGCTGCAGCCATGGATTGTTGGGGGAAAATGAAAAGCAGTGGATGGATTTTTCCTACCTTCCTCCTTTGCATATATGGCTTCTTCTCCATGATGAGACCATCTGAGCCTTTCCTCACACCTTACCTCACAGGACCTGATAAAAACCTGACCATTGACGAGGTACCATAAAACATACTTCAATAATACAATGTCTGCTCTGGGACATAAATAACAGGCACCTTTGAATGGAGCACCCAGATCAGGGATACTGGAGATAGATGGAGATCTTGTCAAGATCCAGTAGAAGCTGAGGCAAAGAGCAGAGTCAAGAACAGAAGAGGGCCAGATAACTACAAGGAGTGGAAGAACCAAAGGTGAAGGCAAGCTCAGGAGCAGGCAGGATCAGATACTTGATAAGGCAAGATAGGATCAGAGACAGAAGTGAAGTCAAGGAGAAGAGTCAAGGAAGAGAGGCATGCACTGCAAAACTGGAACTAAACACCAAATTGAGAATAGGAAGACTCATGTTGTTGTGATGAAGCCAGGCAGGGCTGAGCAGCTTTTTATAGCCCTTCCTGTGGCTTCCACCTGTTTTCTGTGATTGCAGAAGCTTTAAACCCTGCAAGCACCCACAGGCCTGACACCAGTTCTGCAAGTACTTTCAAGGTGAACCAGGTTGCCTGCTCTAGCAAGCCACCAGGGGGAGCAGCAGTGCAAATCCTGATGTACCATGAAATAAAAGGCTGGATGTGAAGAAGCTGTTATTGTAGTTTTCCACACCCTACACTTTTTCCAGCTGGATTGAACTGCCAGTCCAGCAAACAGTGTTGTAGCTACATATTTTTCAACTCTAGGCTCAAGGCTGGTGCCAAAGCTAGGGGAGGTTGAGCACCTGCCAAGGGCTCACACCCCATTGCCAGCCCCCTAGCAGTAGCCCTCTGGATGTGTTCTTCTTCATGCCAATTTGTGTTCAGTGTTCTCGCTTTGTACAATGGTAATTGTCAGGAGGTAATTGTCAAGCACTGCCTACATGCTCAGTGGCTCCCTGTCTCAAGCTTGCAAGTTATAGCAATGATCTTGGGAGGTGCAGTAGAAGAATGTCTGGAGGGCTACAATCTCCTAACCCTGAATTATAAATGTTGCTGGCCAGTGCGGTGTAGCAGTTAGAGTGCTGGACTGGGGGTCTGGGAGCTCTGGGTTGTAGTCCCTCCTTGGCCATAGGCCATAGTCTCAGCCTAACGTACCTCATAGGGGAAGAGGTTGTAAGGATAACATGGAAAGGAGAACCTTGTAAGCTGTCTTGGCTTCTTTGTGAGAGGAAGAAAGGCAGGGCAGGGCGTGCTTTTAATATAACAACGATGAGGACACTTCCTAATTTCATTCTCTTGGGGTTACGGAACTCCATCTTGTTTCTTCCAGGTAACACAGCATGTGTTCCCAGTTTGGACATACTCCTATCTTGCTCTGCTGTTCCCTGTGTTCCTCATTACAGACTACGTCCGCTATAAGCCTGTTATTATTCTCCAGGGAATTAGCTTTATTGTTACCTGGCTGTTGCTGCTGTTTGCCCATGGGCTGCTGTCCATGCAACTGGTGGAGTTTTTCTACGGACTCGTGACAGCCACAGAGGTTGCCTATTATGCCTACATATACAGTGTGGTCACTGCTGACCATTACCAGAAGGCGACAGGTTACTGCAGAAGCATCACGCTAGTGGCATCCACCATGGGTTCCCTCCTGGGGCAACTCTTAGTTTCTTTAGCTCACGTGTCTTATTTTTATCTCAATGCCATATCTTTGGCTTCTGTCTCGGTGGCATTTCTATCTTCATTTTTTCTGCCCATGCCTCAAAAAAGCATGTTCTTTCATAGAAAGCCTTCCCCCGAAGCCTCCACTGGGCCAGCAAATAAGGATGCACCAAATGCATCACAGCAGTCACACTACCAAGAGGACAAAGACGTTAGGATGTCAACAGCCTGCTCCCAGAACTTACCTGAACACGTGGGACCCAGAATTCAAAGCCAGCACCACTTTTTGGCGGTGCTCTGGCAACTGTGTAAGGACTTGAAGGAATGCTACACCACAAAGAAGCTTCTTTATTGGTCAATATGGTGGGCATTAGCCACTGCAGGCTTTAACCAGATTTTGAATTATGTCCAAGTACTGTGGGATAACAAAGCTCCTTCCCATAGTTCTGATGTTTACAATGGAGCTGTTGAAGCCATAGCAACATTTTTGAGTAAGTATGAGATTTAAACTTAGTCTTCCCCACCAGGGTGAGATGTACTCTATTTCTAAAGTGCAGTAATTTGTAAATGTGCCTGGATATATGTGCCTTATATTAATGCATTTTTATGCAACTCTATGCCTTTTTTTAGTGATTGGGGGTTTTTTTGGGAGGGGAGCATTAGTGACCACCCTACTTATCAGGGATGCTATGGTGGAAGATTACCTGTTGTACTAGCAATCAGGGAGTTGTACCTGTTGTACCTGTCTAGTACCTGTTGTACCAGAAAGCAGGGAGTTGTACTAGAAATCACCAAGACTTTTTCCAAATCTAGCTATATATAAAACCTCTGTTCATGAGTTAGAGCATGGACAGTCAGGAGTGGACCCTTTTCTGTTATGGCACCTAGGCTTTGGTTTGAATTGTGTCTGCATGCTGTAAGAGTTGCATGGCATCTGCTTAGTATTTTTATCCTGTATTTTCACTGGAAGATATACAGTCATACTGTATATTTCCGTATCTATATTTTTAAAGGAATATTGTGCATGTGTTTGTAAAAGTGTTAGTGGAGCTTGTGGTTCTGCACTGTATAACACATCTTATGCATCTTTATTTCCAGGCTCACTGGCATCATTAGTGGTGGGATATCTGAAAGTGAACTGGGATCTAACAGGAGAGCTGGCACTGGGGGTTTTCTCTGCACTGGATGCTGGTTCACTCTTTCTGATGTGTTTCACCAAGAGCATCTGGGTCTGTTATGCTGGCTATCTAGTTTTCAAAGCCTGTTACATGTTCCTTATAACTATAGCCACGTAAGTATATGCATTCCATCTGTGCCAATCTGCTGTGGAATCTTTCGGAGCAGGGGAGTGGGAAAGGCTAGAACACCAGCAAAGTTGGAAGAGGGGATCATGGGAAAGCAGGCTCAGGCCATGGCACAACTCCCTCCCTCGATGAACCTACCTCCTCGCCCCACAAGAACCAACTGCTCTGGTTCCTCCTCCTCCTCGCTGCTTCCTTTTACCATGGTGCCTGTTGCCCTTCCTTCTCAAATACCCCCTCTAGCTAGAACATGAGAAGGGGAGCAAGCAGGCTGCCCTGGTAAAGTGGGGGAGTGAGTCCAGGGTCTCTTTTCAACAGGCCCTTCCTGGGATGGAGGTCTCAGCAGGTGCTCCACCATGCCTATCCTTGACAGCAGCATGGACAGAAAACCAGTTTGTTCATTTGGCAACTGCCATTCCAGCCAGAGCCACACAACAGTGCTGCCAAAGAGGCTTCTTCCTTTCCTCCAAAGTCCTATTATAATTCACCCAAAGGCAATTAAAAAACCCTAGTACTTATCTGCAAATTTAAGTGAAATATAGAACTCCCCTACATCCTAATAAGCTTTGCACATCCCTTTCTAGTCATTCACTAATGACCCTCCTATCCTTAAATTTCATTGTAAGAATCTTGTGAACAAACTGTGTGTGCATGTGAAACTTTCTCACCCTGAAGTTCTACCTCCATTTCACCCAAGTGGGCTTGGAAAAAAAATATCTGGGGCACCAGCTGAATAGTTTGCAAGCACCAGGTTGGAGAGGGCTGAACTATGCCATCCTAATGAGAAGATTAAGGCTACAGAGTTAGGCTGACATAATGAAGCCATTTCGTTCCTGTCAAAAATAGCCTTTTACAACTCTTTGGCAAAGCACTTTCTTCTATGAATCCCCAGTAAGTTAGGTAGTTTTGTTTCTTCAGCTGTAGCATGCAACTGTCAATACTTTAACAAAGGTTTTCCTTTAGTTTCCAGATTGCTGTCAGCCTCAGCATGGAACGTTATGCCTTGATGTTTGGATTCAACAACTTTGTTGCGCTGCTAATTCAAACTATTGTGACCTTTATAGTGGTGGATTCCAAAGGGCTGGGACTGAATATTGGGACTCAGGTAAACTGGATTATTTATCTCACATCAGGTTACTTAGTAAATGTGTCAGCACCCTGACTTTTCAAAGGTCAAATTCCTATGAAATCAGTGTGCTTATGGATGCCAAGCCTCAAGATAAGCATCTCCACCAGACATGTCCACCAGCATGGGGACAAGGGTTATAGTCTAATACATCTGTGGGACAACAGATTGGGGAAGGCTGGGCTCAATTATTTACTATAGTTCTACTCTGCCTATGAGGCAGCTTACAATAGAAATGTTAAAAGAAAACTGATCATGGATGTTGCTTTCAAACTACATTTCTGATATTCAAGAAGTCATTGACTGCCAATTAATTATCAGTACTGATTTAAACACTTCAAAGGACACACCCAAAAATGCTGTAGATTGGGCTCAATTTTGGTTTTGTAGTAACTATAATGAATAAGGAAGACATCTTTAGCTTCATTTGCAGTTTTATTAAATCATCTAATATTTCTAAGAAAACATCAAATTTCAACCATGTAGGCTAAAACCTGCACTATGAAAAATAAAAAAACATGCACCAGTTTCCCAGATCTGAATAGTTTAAACAAGGAAGCATTTTTTTAAACATTTCTAGGTATGCAAGATGTCAGTTTAAAAGAGTTCTATAAAACTCAGGTTCTTACCTAGTTCTGAATAAGCTGTCCTGCTGACAGGCAAACTGGATTCAGATTAAGTCTGAGCAGAAGCAAAACACTTTTCTTCTTTGGTTCTCTTGGGCATGGGATGAAGCAGCCTCTCCCAAACAGAACTGAAGCCGTTCTGGAACAAGGCCTCATTCATGACTTGTGTTTTGGACGGAATACACACATAAATACCTTTTGTTGAGAAATAACCTCTTTTGACTTTCTCTGCATGCTGCAGAGCAAGGGAAGAAAAAGTGCGAGTGATGGACAAGTCCATTCTAACCCTAGGGCATGTTTGACCAGGAACTACAATCACAGTGCTTTGGGAAGGGCAAAGGAGGACATTCCTCCAATGCCAGCAGGTTTCCTGATTTTTTTTAAAGTCTTCATTTTTTCAAAGCATTGTAATGTATTGAACCTATCCTTTTATATCTTTGTAGGTTTCTTGCTAGGGAACACCTCTAGGATGTGTGCCATTTTCATACAAATTGACTTAACCACCCACAGAAGTGAGGATGAAGGAAAGCAAAAGAAAAGTACAGAACTTAGGGCATCATCCATGACTGCCTGTAACTCTCTGAATTTGAGAATTATAGGTATTGAGTCAAGTGCATGAGTGTGGTGGGAAGGTCGCCCTCCATGCTTCTCAGCAGAAAGCCAATGTCTTTTGCCCCTGCTCATGAAGAGCAGGGACTGAGGCACCGCTGCAGTTCTTTGTAACCTGGTGGAGACTGACTCCCTTTCACCCCCACCTGACCCTGGCTTTGAAGTCACCCTTGTGACTCTGGAGCCACTCCCAGCACAGAAAGAACTGGTCTGCCTGCAAGAGCAGAGGGAGGGCACTCAGCAGTTGGAATCCCAGCTCTGACCCAAGAACACATGTCCAAGGCTGGAGGTGGGATTCTCACTTATCCTGTGACTGTCTAGGCAGCATCAAGGAGGCAAAGGATAGCACCCTTATTTTACTTTCCCCAAAAAGCATGAATGGCTATGCTTCTCCTTCTGAAATGTTGCAGGTTTATTTTCTGATCTGTTAGAACACTGATGCATGAAGACTATCAGCGGATCAATACATCCTTTTTCGGAGTTCCTCAAATGTCTAGGTTTCTCTTGCACTGGAATTTGGTGGGCTTGTTCCCCTCTGCAGGGACAATCATCTGCAGTTTTTGGGTTACTTGCATGAGGAGAAAAGGTAGCAATAGATGGAAAAAGAAATGTAACCAATGACTAAGTCAGCCTTTCCCAATGTAATGTCCTCCAAATGTTTTTAGACTACAACTCCCATTAAGCACACAAAAAGAGGCTTATGCTTTCATATTTCTGGCCAGACAAAACTGTTAATAAAAACTATCTTTGAGGGAAAAATTCCTCCAACCTCAAAATTCAGTACTTAAAATTCACTAATTTTATGTAATTTGCATGTGCACTGTATGCAAATTTACTAATTGCATAAACTTTCTTGGACATCTGTATATCAGATTTATAATACTTATAATCTATAAAATATATATTGTTCATTAATTATTGACCAACTCCTAAGCAAAATTCTTAGTTTGCCTTTGACCACAAGTAATAAAGTAATACTTTTGGCAATTCTTCAGATATACACAGATACCAAACACTGTATTGTAAGTGTTCATAATGAAATGACCTTTAACCCTGAGTGATGGAATTAACATCCTTTCTTCAGTATTATTCATTATTCTTCAGTATTATTACCTCTTCATCAAACTGCTGGTATCAGTTATCCAAAATTCATTTTGCACTTGCTCGTTTGTACTATTTTTAGATATCTGCATTTCCAAATTCTTTATTAGGTATCATTAAGAATATTTGGTCACTCTTTGCTTGGCATTTTATAAAAGACATATTATATTGCTTTGCGGTGTGTTGACAATTTCTCAGCACACTTCCCAGCATTTCCAATCCACCTAAAATATGCATTTATATAAGGGCCCAGAATCTGATCAATAAAAAAGCTTGGTGGGATAAACATAAAAGCAACATTTTTCAGGGAGAGCTTGAAGGCTCTGGGCAAGGGTTGCACATAGTTCTTGGGAGAATATTTCAGTGTTCTTGATACATGTGGCTTTGCTGGATTTTGGCTTCTGTTTACAGATAGCAATGTCTAATTGAAGGAATAAAAATAATTTCATTATTTAACTAATTAAAAGAGGAATCCCGAGATCCTCTGGATTCCCAGATCCGAGAAGGAAACAGAGCTTTGACCATGGAGCTTCCCGCCCCTGCTCCCAGTGTGAAAAGAATAGTGCTGCTTGCTGCTCTGAGGTCACCTTTGTGAGGGGATAAGGGGAGTGTTCCAGTGGGCAGGGAAGGAAGGGTACTGCAGAGCCCAGGATGTATCCTCTGGAGCCACCTTCTTTCCTCCTCTGAACTGACCTGGCTAGATGGCCCAAAGCAGCTGTCTAGCAAAAAAAAAGCAGCGCAAGAAGAGCAGTTCCACTCAGATTCTCCCTAATCCTCAAAATTTGCAGGCTTATGGGTATCCCCGTTGGATTGGACTGTGTTGTGCCATACCAAGTAAGCCTTACTTCTGAGTAAACGTGCATAGGATTGTGCAGTCTTGTAGAACAAAGTTGTTTCACAATCTCCTCCTTTCTTTTAACTCCATATTATTGATTCTCCAACAGTCCACCTGCCTCCCTAGCTGGTTTATAAAAGGAATTCTTTATGGTCAGCTTTGAGGTTACCAATGTGCTCCTCAAAATGCTTTTTTGCATCTTGTATTGTCTGTTTGCATCTCCTTTGTATAAGCTTGTGCAGCCTTTGTTTTCCTCCTCTGGTGTTTTTCTAAAGGAGGCCTCTTTTCTGTAATAGCTTCCTTGACATGCTAATTAACCAGGAAAGTAACCTCTTGAACTTGGTACTACTTTTCCTAACCTGTGGTATACATTCTAACTCAGATTCTATTATTGTGGTTTTGAGAAACCTCCAAACATTTTGAGGGACTTTGCCATCTTGGCTTCCCATTTCACCTTCTTTTATGGATTCCCTCATTTTAAAGGTTTCTTGTTCTCCTTCTCATTTTAGATAAAGTCAAACAGAGTCACATTTAACTTATCTGTTTTCTGCTTAAGAGCATATTAAATATCTGTGGTTACCTTTTCCAACTAGTTCAACAACACTGACATCTTGTACTAGATCCCAGGCAGCACGGTTTAGCATCCAATCCAGGGGCCCATGTTAAAGAGGGCATAGAGTCCAGCAGACTTGATAATCTAAAGTGTGAAGACTCCTCCACAGAAGCACTAGGGGTTAAAATTTAGGCATAGGAGTATGCTATCATCCTTCAGACCAGAATGCTGTGGGTGATCTTGAGATGGGAAAGGAAATCAGGGAGGCTTCCAACATAAGAAGTACAGTAATAACGGTGGACTTACTACCCATGCACTGACTGGACAAATGTATGTTCCAGTTCTGACAGAGAGGTTAAATAACTTGATGTAATAAATGACTAGTTGGTCATGGAATCAACCAGAGTGGAGGCAATTCTGGATTTATTCCTAGGTGGGGCTGCCCAGGATGTAAATTTTGTTGAGCCAATAAGAAACAATGACCACAACAGCATCAGATTTAATATAAAGTTAAGCAGAAGATTGCCAAAGAGAAAGCTTCTCAAAAATGAGGAAACTGGTAAAGACGCAGCTGAAGAGTGAAATCAAGAGGTTTAAATCATTCCAAAATACTTGAAGATTATTCAAAGAGGCATTTGAACATACTACAAATGAGGAAAGGTAGCACAAAGTTCAGGAAATCACTAGCACAGTTGACACGTAGAGTCCATAAGGTATTAGGGAGAAGAAAGTTTCCTTCAAAAAACAGAAGTCTTGCCCAAATTGGGGGTGGGTGGATGGAACAGATGGATCCGCAAGCGACATGAAAGGAAATGTAAATTTAAAATGAGCTTTGGTTCAAAGCTACAGAATTAGGTAAACCTGCCTTTACAGGATGAACCGAACTAATTCCTTCTGCATCACTAGCTAGAAGTTGTATTGCCAATATCTGGAATGCTATAGAATGTCATGAATGATGCAAGGTGATTGCACACTTGTAACTTATTTAGAAGTACATAGAGAGCAAGAAAGGGAAAAATGTTGGACTCCCCATTTCTAGAAGTATAAAATCCATTGAAACACTTCTAAGTAACAGATGGATTTTATGTTTTTAAATGGAAGATGAAACATTTTCCTCCTTTCTCCTCCCAGCCATATTGTCCATGAGAACATTAGATGTGAAACTGATGCACAACAGGGTGAACACCATTAAGTATAAAGCCAAATGCTTAGAAAATATGTTTTACTACCTCTGTCTGTTTTCTTACAGTTCCTAATATATGGCAGTTACTTTGCAGTGATAGCTGGAGTTTTCCTAAGCAGAAGCATTTACATTATAATCTCAATCAAGTGCCAAAAGAACCACGTTCTTGAAAATCCTCAGAAGACTGGGGCAAAAGAGCTGGGAACAGAAAGCTGTGGCACGAGACTGTGAAACTTAATGTTAACTAATGCCAACTCAGCCATTTATTTGAGAACTTGCACAAAAGTAGGGCTGAGTTATACCAATATAAATGTATCAAGTCACAACTTAAAATGTGAAGCCAACTTATAATTTATGTGAAGTTATTTTCATCTGACTAAAAACCATAGCATTATGTGGTTTGAAAAAGAGTATGACATTTTTAGCCATATTTATTTCAGAATCAATCTTCCTAGTAGCTCTGAGGAGGTATAGAAATGTATGTTATCTACTTTGCTGTAAATGCAAATTGACTGATGGAAAACAATGCTATTATTTGTACAGATTACTAATATATTTGTATTTTGATTCATTGAAAGCATTTTCTAAAACCAAAGTGAACTTGGAGTCTTAGATGGTTTGAGTGACAATACCAGAACTAGGAAGCAGTTATGAGAAATGTTCATGAAAAAGAAGTTTTCAAAGTTTTCAAAAAATGTGAATTTTTAGTTAATGAAATAGTTAAAATTCAGTGACTTTCAATATTAACATGTTAATAGTTAACTGTTCATACTTTCTACTAGTTAAAAGATGTTGAAAACAGTTGCCCTTATTTAGTATGATTGACTCCACAACTAACATAATCTCTTCAATGGAGCTGTCCAGAACCCAGTTTGGTCCAGTTTTGTTGGATGATTTTCAGTGACTGGAATTTGAATACTTGGTTTTACACAAGACTGTTACCCTTTGTGGCTTCTTAAATCAAGCAGGAAGAGATGTCAATCTGGGCCCAGTGGGTTGCAAATGTAGCATGGTTTATTACTGTCTTTTAGTTTGATCACTAAAGACGCCCTTTAAAACAGGGGTTTCCTACCTGTTTTGAACCTCTGGAACATTTGGGAATATAAGAAATTGGGCACCATCACTAAATTCCTACTCTGTAGATCACTGTATTTGCATCTACCTGTTGTATCCAGGGATCTTAGATTGTGTCTCACTCAGCAAAAAACTCTTGTTTAGAGTCTATTGGATAGCACATCATTCACCTGATTTCAATATTTAAACCCATGGTATATAGATGCCATTTTCGGATGGATAATAGATGTCCGGTCTGTTTTTGTTAAAGCATATGTATAACTGTTGGAAATGTGTATGCATTTCATAGAAATCCATGTCTAAATATATGTAAAAGGTGAAAGGAGCATCAAGTTGGGAAGGTTCCCCATGGAGATTGGTTTTAACTGGGATGGTTTAGCTTAGATAAAAGGCAATTAAAGGAACACATGATAGAGCTTTTTAAAATTAAGCATAGGGTGCAGAAAGTGGACATTTTTCTCCCTCTCTGTTAGAACCTAGGGCCATTCTATGAAACTGATTGGTGGGAGATTCAGAACAGATTAAGAGGAAGTACTTTTTCATCCAAGGCTTAGATACTCTGGAGTTCACTGCCACAGGAAGTATGATGGCCACCAGTTTGGATGGCTTTAAAAATTAATGGAGAGGACTGTCAATGGCCACTAACTTTGTTGGATATGTGTTACCTCCATTATCACAGGTGGTACACCTGCATACACCAGTTGCTGAAGAGTTTGGTGAGGTGGGAGTTTTGCACCCATCCTGATCGAGGAATCCTGTGGACAGCTGGTTTGCCACCATGTGAAGAGGGCTAGACTGGATGGACCACTGGTCTGACCAACACAGCCTTATGTTCTTACAGAAACACTTTGTGGGTGCCACATTACAAATCCCTGCCTTAAAGGATCATATTTGTAATCTGTGGCTCATTACTGATCCAGGACTGTCTTTAAAGTTTGAAGTGACCCCTGAAGTTTAGCACACTTTTATCAGCTTTGACCACTATGCCAGCATACTTGGATGGAGATAAGAAAGCTACAGCCATACATGCTTTAGTAACCTATTTATGCAAGTACACTGCATTTTATGTGAGGAAGTTTTTAAAGATGTCTCAGGAACTATGGCTGGCCTAAATTGTTGGAAATGGACCCAATGATCCAAGGTTGATATTGGCAATAGAACAGGTAGGGATACCGTCTTTCTTTGCGCTTTTCCTCTACTTCCTGTGGCTCTTATTCTGCAGGCTTATACTCTTAAGTACCTATCTTTTGTTTTGCAGTCACTCTGACTACCTGTTTCCTACCTGAGCAGTCATGCTACTGTTCATCCTGAAAATACATGGCTTTCTAGATAGAAATGTTAGACTTTTCTCTCCAAATATGTTTAATAAATCTTGCTTTCCTTGTTTATATTAAGCTATAGCCTTCATTCCATTTGTCCCATGACATACTAATGTGGGATTAAAAGCCCACAGGGTAATCCAGAGTACTCACTTCACCAACAGGAAATGCCTAACAGGGTTCTTCCAAGCATTCATCCAAAAAATAAGGCCACCAGATTAACTGAATTTCAGTGATTTGATTGTATTACACTTATGCTTTGTCAGCTGCATGGATCTGTTTGGGAATGCACTAACAAGTGGATTAAACATTTAAAGCCCTCGCTTAGGAGCAGGTTATCGAAAAAAAATAAAAACTTCTCCCATGTTCTTTCATCTAATTTATTTTTAAATAAATAAATTGCTCACTGTAAGCAGCCCAGAAAATCACTTTTGATGAAGCACAATATCACAGTAGTACTATTGCCCTAAACATTTACTTAAAGATGCAATCCTATGCATGGTTAGACATAAAAATAGCTAATAATGCATTCCCTGGTCAGCAAATATGAATATGTCCTAAATTGTTTAAATTGATTTAGCTTGCTAGATCAAAGTCATTAACATTTTTGAAACCCAGTCAAGCCCAATCAGTTAAGATAAAGTCCCATGCCTGTTCAGGAGTTGCAGGGCTCTTTTCTGTCTAGACAGCCATAAGACTGTGCCCTAAACCAGCTAATAAAGATGCAGAAAAACATATTAACCATTTGAATTTAAACATCATCATACTGCCTGGGTGTCCACACAACAATTCAGCATGGGTAATTGTACTATGTGATTCCAGATCTTTTTTCCCAGGGTTGCTCATTCTTGGGCAGCACATGAGTCATGTCATTTGAATTACATGACAGACCCCTTTGTAGATACAGGAAATTGGCTACTGAACTCCTAGACAAGACTAGCAAAAACCCCTTGCTCCTTGTCAAACAGCTAGATGAAGCCACTCTAAGAATTCCCTAGCATCATTTGGGGGCAGCTGGCATTGGCTTCCCTCACCTCCCAAGTGCAAATGTTGGCTGAATGCTGAAGATAGCATGTTGTAGAAATGAAAGAAATGAAGTAGGCGGTACAGAAACTTTACAGTCAATATGGCAGTTTTGTTTAGTGAAATACAAGTTATCTTTATACTGAATTGTGAATATTTATCTTCAAAATAAATACTGCCTAGTTATTCTTCTATAAAACATTAATGCACCTCTGCACGAGAATTTTGAGTTTCCTTAAATGAGTTGACTCAACCAAGGTTTTATCACATCTATGGAATAATCTCAGACCCATATAAGTTTCTCACAAAAATCAAATAGTAACTGTGGAAATATGGCTAACAAAGTATTTAAATAATGTAGAAGAATAAAATGACAGTAGACACTACTGAATTTTTTGATGAAAATTGTTATTTTATATTAAGGCTAATTAGCAGGAAGCCTGGATTAGCACTAGTTCTCTCTCATTTCATTCAAGGATGAGAAGAAAAACAATAATGTTACTTCAACAGGACTCCAGTATTGCGGACCAGGAGGTAAGTGACTTCTCATAAGACTTCATGGGTGACAACCAAGATACATGCTAACTGGGTGGGTTTGTATAACATGCTAAGCCACCCTGAGAATCAGATACACAAATGTTTGGGCTGACCATGGCTTGATATATTATTCAATGTTCTGGCTAGTAGACATTTGATAGTCTGAAAAGTGCTGGACTTCCTGCAAAACAGAGTATCCTAATCAATGGAAGGTTTTTTCCCCTTTGCTCAAAGGATCTACACTTCTATCTGACATTTAACATATTCTTCTTGCCCTCAGTTTTAAACTCTACCTCAATCATTAAAGTACATTGCAAAATCTATCATGGAACAAGTTACTCAGAACTGGTACAATTTACTTGTTAATAAACAGATCTGAGAAATGATATTCAATTTTCAGTGGAAAGTTCTAGTTAGTCAAAAGTGAAATACTTGACAATCATTACATGATGTCTTCTCCTTTGTGTACCCTCTAGTTTTCAACATTTACCATTTGACTATATCGGCAATAGTGTTAATCAGAGGTGCTCAGCAAATCATGTGATAGTTTTACTGAATTGGATCACCCTTAAGACTGTCTACTGTATTTGCAAATGGCACAAATGTACAAATATTTATACAAAAACTTGTGTTAGATTAATATTCTGTCAACATACTAAGATTCTTCTGAAGTAGTTTGATGCTTTGCATCTCTGCTTTATAAAGCCAGTTGACCTCAACGGATACAAAACTTGCCTTTGATCAGGCACAGCCCTCCCTCGCTCCTCTAGTTCAAATATTTGTTCAGTGATAAAAAATTACTAGGTTTTTTTTTTTTTTTTTTTGGGCCCATCACTGGTTGGCGCAAACAACCATGCAATCAGTTCTGCACACCCCCTTTGGTTTTGTCACGTAAGCAGCATGCACCTAATTAAATAAGATCAAAAGGAGAATAAAAATGACAACAATGAAAAGATCTGAAGTTAAGTTAATCTCAGGTACTATGGGCAGAAGCGTGATAAAAGTCAAACCATGTTTAGACAGAAGAGATTTCCACAGCTTCATGCATTACCCCAACCAGCCATATTATGTATTTTTTTCTCTATAAAGATGCAGAGAACTGCACCTTAAGGTGTTGCGTCATTTCAGTTTTTCATCTCAAGCATGTTGATTTATTTACTGTGATCTCAGAAAAGCATTCTCATGCCTCAAAAATAGCCTACAAACAGCAGAACAGTTCAATGAGTAATTCATGAGACTCATTTTTATCATTCACATTAGACAACAGAATCCCTCTGAGGGGGACAAATGATTCTTAAGTGCCTGGCAAAGTTTGGTGACACTAAAAATGATCTATTATCCACTGCAGAAGACTATGAGAAAATCTATACTAATGACCAACTGGGAGACCATTTTTGTACTGGAATCAAAAGGAGTCTGAGACCCAAGCTGCATTCTGCCCTGGCTCTTACAGAGAAAACCCAGCAGAATGTGGCTCATCTCATCCTCAAATGCACCCCATTCATGCCTGACAGCTGCTCAGCAGTCACTGCACCAAATGAGAACAGGATGACCCACATTCTGCTGGGAGACCCAATATGACTTGTCCTCTCACCTAGCCCAGCAGAACACACCTACAGAGGGCAAACTGCAACACAGTGGGCTACACTAAATTGATTTTTTTAACAGCAAGCCTGACACCTAGATTTGTTCAAAGTCATTGCCCTTGGAAAATCATTTTGTTAAGTCATTGCCCCTGGAAAGAGGACATATTAAACAAGTGTAACCAATAGGCAATATCCTATCAGTCCCAGGAAGAAATTGAAATTATATTACATCAAGCTGGAAAGGGTTCAAAGGAGGGCAACAAGGATGATCCAGGGACTGGAAACAAAGCCCAGCGAGCAGAGATTGAAAGGACTGGGCATGTTAGCCTCAAGAAGGGAATACTGAGAGGGGATAAGACAGCAGTCTATGAGGACTTGAAAGATTGCCAGAGAGAGGAAGGACAGGATTTCTTCTCAATCATCCCAGACTGCAGGTCATGGAATAACAGACTCAAGTTATAGGAAGCTAGATTTCAGCGATAGAACCTAGGGAGGCTGTGGGCTCTCCCACACTAGAGGCATTCAAAGATCAAATGGACAGCCATCTGAGAGGGATGGTTTAACTTGGTGTCCTGCACTTAGCAGAGGATTGGACCCGATGGCCTTCTGGCCCATTCCAACTCAACCAATCACCAGTTCTTTGGAAATAAACTTATATCTAACATAGAAACAGAGCGAGTCAGAAGGGGCCTCCCAGGCCATCTAGTCTGACCTCCAGCACTAGCCGGCTCCGCTCATGACATGCCCAGGTCCAGCCTATCCTTGAACACCCGCACCGATGGGGCCTCAACGACCCCTCATGGAAGCCCATTCCACACCTATGGTGGTTAGTGAACAGACACCCATTAAAAAGATAGAGTCTCGGCAAAAATCTCAGCCTCTCATCACCTACAAACCATACAGGTTGTACTGAGGTAAAGAATGTTTATGTTTCAAATAGCTACAAACTATTACAACAGGTTCTCAGCCTATTGTAATAGGTATATTACATATTTTCATACCTCAAGCCCTGTAATTTCTATCACAAAATAATTTCAATAGAAATATAAAAACAAGATGTGGCTTGAAGAGGATAATAATCCATGAATCCTATGCTTAAACTCCAATGACACCACAACTTTTATATTCATTCCCTTCAAGTAACATATGCAATGTGAGGCAGACCTTCGCACATATCCTTAATTCATGTATTTTATATAATCAAGTGCTTGTGTTTTTACTTTATATAAAAATATTTATATTTGTCATTGATGATCCTGTTAAGTGCAGAATGTGCATTTCTACTAAATAACCCTATGTCAATGTATAAAATATTATAATTAAAGGTGATCAGAAAACAAAAACATATTCATGAAAATGGCTAATCATCTTTCACCAAGTAATGCTAAGAAAACTAGCACTGGCATTTATTTTGCAAAGAACTTATACTGAATAACACTCCCGCAGAAAAGGAACACAGAACTGATTAACTCAACAGGGAAAAATATTGTAAATGAAGAACCAATTCCAGGTTAAGGTTGAGGTAGTATGTACTGGCTGATGGATCTGCAAGCAACAAACACTGCAGGAACAATCTTTCAGACTTTCTTCAGTTAACTAGGATGTATAAGGTAGCAACTTGTAGTCTGATAAAACGTTTAAGTCTAAAAAAGAATTATGTTCTCCCCAGTGCATTTGTAATCAAATTAAATACAGTGTTCAGAATAATAAAATTGATATTTTATTGACTGATCATTTGGAGTATTCCTATTTTGTAAATAGATGCCAGTTCACAACATTACTAAAGCAGTCAGGAAAGTATTGTATTTATCTTGGGAATGATCCTGAAGATTCAACAAAATTGGTTAGTGCAAGTGCTGACAAAGACATACATGCTTTTTCTAATGTTTATTTTTTTCCACCTGCAAACTGTAGCAAAACATGATCAGCTTTATTATGCAGACAGGTATCCCTCTACATTATAGAGAATTTAGGCATGTATAAATAGAAAAGCTCTTTAGGAAAGAAAAAAAAAACACACCAAGAAATGAATAAAACCTTCAATTTTGAACTCATAACTCCCAACAGCAATGGTTAAAATGATGTAGGTTATTCATTCCAAGAGATACAACAGCACCTGAAAGTGGCTGATCTATTTCCCCCAGTAACATTTTTCACATAACAATGTGTTAAAAGTTACAAATACTGATATGCACAAATAACTAATTCCTAAGAAAAAATATGTACAGTACTGCAGCATAATGAATGTGATATCTGCAATAACTTAACATTAGCCAATTTTAATATACATGATACCACTAACATTCTCCTGCCAATGCACAAAAAGGATGTTACCACAGCCCTCTGTTTTGCACATTACCTGGTATTCCTTGGTCTTAATACACAATGCAGGCTTTTTTTTTTTTTTTAAAGACTTCCCATGTGTTTAAAGCTAAGGTCAGTGAAACAAGACAACAGTGCAAGAGGCGCAGAGATGTTATGTGATCACATAAGAGTTCTTTTAAAGTGTCTGTAAGGCTATAAGAAAGGATTGGTTGATGAGCTTCCTGTTGGAAATTGCCCTGCTGGTGCACCGGCCTAGAAGAAAAAAAAAAATTCTCACAGAAAAATAATTACAGCTCTGTGCAAAGCCTACTACCTAAGCAGACTGATTTCAAATATAAATTGAGTTGATGCCTTCATGTCAGAAGTATTAATTCAGGAAACAAAAAGAATCACTAGCAATGCTTTTTTTTTTTAACTCCAATGTTTGGAGAAGTATTCAAGCTGTGTTAAACTTTCCTGTTTGTTTTTAAATACAAAGACTGCTTATTACACAGGGAGAGGTATAGAGAGAAAACAGGCTGGATCCAGATGCTATAGGCTGGCTGAAGCTGTTTTCCTAGACCAGCCCCTTCCATGTAATTGGCCCAAGGAGGTTGAGAGACCTTGTTGATGGCTAGGAGAAGTACAGAATCTTTTGAAAATTTCACTATGACTTAACAGGGCTTTACTCACATAATCATCCCTCACACAGGTAATAAGGGATCAAGAATGTTAACATTTTATTTAACCTACTGCAGAAACACACAGCAATTACAGCATCAATTGCATATTTCCCCTATGTTTGAAGTCATTTATACAGATACAATCGTAGATGTATTCAGTTCTCTTTAATTGGGGGCCTAATTGTTCATAACATAGTTCTGGTCAAGGATAAAAGAACAAAATGGTACAATTGTTCTTTTAATGTAAACAATGTGCATGTTGTGAAATGGCATAGGGAATTTATTTACTGGGGCACTGTGAACCTCCAGATACATTAAAATATTAATAATTTAAGCTTCAAGAGTATAATTCAGAAGTGGTCCTCCCATCTCTCTTAATGGTTTTATTAATCCAAGTCAATATTGTAGTAACAATAAATTACTATCTGTGAAAGACTACCAAATCATCAGGGTTTACTTACCATAAAAGGATTACTAGATACTCCAACACCTGTAACTTGACCAAATGGAGTTACTACTGGTTTTGCCTGTCCAAATGGAGCAAAGCCTGCACCTTTGTAATAAAATCACAAATCAGTTTTAGTGTGGTAGTAAAGTATTGCACTATGAATTTAGCCTATTTCTAGCAATGAACCCTTTGCTCATTAGGTCAATAAAATATTTTATCTGAATCGAAACAGAATCTGTTTCCGTAGCACTGTGAACAACATTAACATTTTTCGTTTTGTTTACTTGTTTCCCTTTTCCAGACTTTCAGCAAAATAATTTAAATTATAGACACCAAATTTACTAACCAGATTCTTCAGGGATATATATAAGTAAAAAATCCAATGGTCTCCCGATCCCACTTTAATGCTGGAATCCAATAAAAATCTAAATCTTATCAATTTTTTAGGAAACATCAGCTTCTTAGTTTAACATAATTTAAAACATTTTGATAAACTTCATGCTATAAAATTATGCAGCAACTAAAGTCTTATTGAATCATCTGGTAATGCAATTGTTAAATTTAGAACAAAGATACAGTATATTATCCCAGATTGCTCCCTGCATGTGCTATGTAGCAACTCAGCAGGGATTACTAAGTTTTCCTAGGACCAAACAGAATTTATCATAATTTTTCTGTAATTAAAGGCAGGGAATGTGAGATAATAAAATATACAATAGTCTGATCAGGAGAACTCCCTTAGTATACATCACTACTATCCTGAGGTAACAGTGTAATATTCAAGTGATCAGCTGATGAAAGCATGGCACAGAACAGGCAAGACTCTCAAGATAAACAGATGAATAACTAAAATGTCCTGAAATTGCTTGCAATCTGTGAAACAAAATGTAACATGCAAACATTTACCATTAGGTTGCTGGGTGAAAGCAGCCTGAGGAAAGGCTGCCTGTCCTGGAAATGCAGGCTGTTGGAAGTTACCACTAAAGCTAGTAGGAAGACTGTATGAGGCAGTTGTTCCAAATCCTGCAGGCATGCTCATGGATGCTGTGCCAAATGTTGCTGCTGATAAGGGAAACATTGCATTCAATTACTTTTTAATTGTGAGCTATGTTACACTAAGCAGCATTTCCACAGAATCCCTTATGAAGCAACCAGTCACATGGCTAGCCTTAAAACCATTAAGCATCTGGATTTTTTGGGAACACAGACAAAATTTGTTTGGTATGCTCCCTTTGGTCAACATAGCATGTGCCAGTATCTCTTCTTAGATATTTCAAAATGTTTTTATTAAAACATAATATGGAGATTTTCACAGGCAATAGATAACTACCAATACTTTTTAATGGACAAAAATGTAAGAGAAGAAAAAGCCTGCAACTTGCTAAACACCATGGATTCAACTTTATTCCCTAGTTCTAGAAATAGGTGAACAGAAAACATTTAGAACCCTGTAGGAACTCTTACTGACCACTTTAAGTGCAAAGCACCATTAAGTTCTACCCGATACACAGCAGCAGTCAAGATCTAAGAACTATTTTGTTGTGCTATGCCAACTGAATTTTTATTCAGACAATTACCCACACATCATATCAAACTTATTTTTTAAATGAGGCTGTAGTTGAAGAAGAACTATTAATGCTTTCTTTGTTTCATGTAACTAGTTTCATTCTTGCATCCTGGCTGGATTGCAAAAGAAGTATTGTACGATGACAACACTGCAAATGAAGCAGTTTATTAATTTTTTAAATTTTCGTTTATTATTAGATGTTGTTAAAGTTTCCTGACCAGAAAAAGCATGTTATTTTACTGAACTCACTAGTTTTACTTTGTTTATAGAAATTGAAGTGGTATCCAATGGTGTCATTCTGCAAGCTGAAATAGCACTAAAAAATCTTCTGCTGAATCTTTCTGTTGCACAACCGGCTATGCAAACTTAATACACAGCTAGCTTTATGCAACTTAAATTTAGTTAGTCTGACAGTATGCATTTGCACTAATGTCACAGTTGTACACTGTCGCTCATCTCCATGTTGTTGTAGAGAACTGGCACAACTTTTAATACTAAGTCATCACATCCACCAATCAATAGTTACGACTAGCCAGGAAAGACAGATCATAAGAGTTTATTAAAGTAATTAGGATAAAGAGGCACCCATGAATATAAAATAGACAAGATACAGATAGAGCACCAACAGAACTTACACAAGCTACTATTAGCAGGGAGGATACTTAACAGTGAAACTTGCTAGAACAGCAAATCAAAACACATTGTGACAATACACAATGGTTTGACATTATTAGTTTCACTTGAGCTACTATGAACACAAGCTTCAAAATTCATTCACTTTTTAAGCATCTACTAGCGTGACCATGGAGGTAAGATATAATAGTTTTAGCTTACAATCCTAAGCACACTTACATGTCAGTAATTCCAAATGATCTTTTCAATGTGTGTGTTTAGGACTGAAGTTTAAGTCTTAAAATTATATCAAGTAATGTCAATGTATTTGAGGTGAATCACCATCCATGTCCACTACATTACAAAATATGGAAGGAAGGTTGAAAAAAGTTGTACATGCAGAAGGAACCAGTCACTGGCAGTAAGCTTTCACAAGCAAATGAACAGTTAGCCACATGAAACTTATATAAAGTGTGGCTACCTACCAAAATGAGCCTGAGGAAATATGTGAGAGGGCATTGCTCCTGAGAGGCCTTATGAGAAGTCACAAAGAGACCAGACAGTGTCAAATTATTTATAAACAATATTGTGTAGAAATATTTTGCATAGTAAAAAAAATCAGTATCTGAACACCCTTTTAAAACCTCAGAATATTTCCTAGATAGGTTTGGAAGTTTTCTTTTTAAAAAAAATGGTCAGAAATTGACACTCTCTTAATACAGACACACCTTAAAATCTGCTACGATACAGAGCGGTCAAACACTTGAACATTAGAAGAGCTATCAGCTTTATTACATTCATTAAATTTATCAAAGGAAAATACGTATGTTCTAAAAGCATGTTCTAAAATACCTTACTGGATAAATGTATCCTTCAAAAATCAGGAAGGGGAACATTTTTATTTGAACCTATGTACATTTCCTGGTCCAACTGTTTGATCCGGACACAATGAAATTAAGCATTTGAAACCATAACACCACTGAGTACTCAAAGTTACGGGCCTATAATTGAAGTTAAAAAACATAAATTGTTATCACACATAATTCCATGCTTTCTTTTTCTAACCTGTTGCTCCTCTGTTAGTGGTTTGGAATGGGTTTGTTGAAGGTGCTACTGCTGCTACAGGGGCAGCCACAAATGGATTTGTGGAGGGTGGTGCTGAAAAATGAAGCAACAATAGTATGAAAACATTATATATGCCTCAAACTACCTATCAAAAAGAAGACAGTTCTTTTGATAGAACTACATAGTCTAAGATATATTTTCATCAATGTGCTGATCCAGATTATTGCATTTTGGCTTAGCATCCACTGTTATTTATTAAGCCAAGGTATGAATGACCCTTATGCTTGTGCATTCAGCTTCTTCACAACTTCCCTTTGTGTAAACTGCAATTAAACTAGGAAGCCTTCGATTAATAACAGTTACCCATTTAAGCCAAACAGAGAAACTATAACTACAGATGCAAAACAAGCTAGGATATAAACCAGTTTCAAAACATATTTTAGTATCTGGCTTGTTCTGAAACTGTAAACCACAGTTTTTTTGGTTTAGAAAGAATGATAAAACCTGATTTTCTTACACTGAGCTGACATATAATCACCATATGGTGCTGCATGAATTGCCTTCATGGGTAAGGCATAACTATAGATAGATTAAAAAACAGGATCTTGTAACATGCATTAGTAGAAAAGTGTAATAATGGTTACAGTACCTCCAAACTGAGCAGATACACTTGATGATGCAGGCTGTGTCTGTGTATTAGTACCCACTGGTACTGTTCCAAAAGCATTACTGAAAATAATTTGTATTCATCAATATGAGAGCCAGTTACTTAGACAGCTGCAACTAATATGTGTATATGAAAGCACAAATACCTGTTGTACCACATTTTAAGGAAAACAACTGGTTTAATTTAGATGCAACCATTCTTAAAGCACAAGTCAAAACCAGCCATATTCCCTTCTAGCCAGTGGTTTGCATAATAATCCAAAGCAGTAAGACAAAGGGAACTTAGATAAGGTACCAAACAGAATCCAGCACCTCCAGATAGTTACAAGATTGTATTCAATTTGACACTGCTAATATCAAACTTTACACGCATTGCACTATCAACAGGTTTAATGCAGTTATAGAATTAATACTGATATAACTACTCATACACAGATGACTTATCACTGAAGATAATTTAGGCAGTAAGAATACTGAAGGCCCCATTCTCCACTTGCCAGTATATTTGCTTTTAATTTCATGATACTAACATCTACTTGGTGATTTTTGTAGTAGGCTTTAAGCTTCAGGAAACCTCCACATCCACTTAATCCATGGCTGAACTCAGGGTTGAGAAGTCAATGGCTCCTCAGATGTTGCTGCATTATTTTGTCCCTGGCCATTAGCCATGAAGGTTAAGACTGATGGGAAATAGAGTCCAATTATTATCTGGAAGGCCATAGGCTTAAAAACATTGCTGGAACAGAATCTGCAGTTTTTAAATTATGGATTTTCAGAAATTTGTGCATTTTTATTGGCAAATATAATAGGTTTACATTAACTTTTATTAAGAAAGAGTACCTGCTAACATTACTGGTGGAAGTATATGCATTACTAGAGGTTGCTGTGGAGCTGAATACACTGTCTAATTCTGCTAAAGCTGCATATTTGTCTGAAGATGTACTTGGCTGGTTTGGAGCAGACACAACAGGACCTGCTGGTGCTGTACTGGCAGCAAATCCACTTCCTTGATCACTACTACCTACAAACAAAACAAAACAAAACCACATGCCAGATTAAAAATTCACATTAAAATTCTTTAGACCATAAGTTAGCCATGATAATTATTTATTTGGTAATCTAACTGTTAAGGAATTAAAAACATATTTTCCTAGTTTTCAGTTATTTAAGATGCTCAAAGCCATATTCCCAATAAGTTCAATGTATCTTTAGGGAAGAATGGGAGTAGTTCTTCCAACTTTCTATCAAACTCAAGAATGTGTTCATCTTCCATTTTTCAAAAATATGAATGCTTAGATTCTTTTCTCAGAGCTTTCTAGCTTTTATATTTATGTATTAACTCTATTATATATCTATATACTTTATCAATATCACAAAACCATGGGTAGATGGATTATGATGCCTAAATAAATAGGCATCATAGGCCTAGGCTGAACACTTACATGCAGTATGATCAGCTTAATGAAGGTCTGGAAGACCTATTAAGACTGACATGTAAATGCTTGCTTTAACCAAGCAGATAAAACAGTAGTGTCCACACCACTGTAAATATTTTTTCTTTAACTGTCTGGGGCAGACTGAAATGGGCAAAAGCAAATATAGAGTTGATTTGTGTGAAGGGCTTGTCACATGACAATGGCCATTTGAAGCAAGCCTCACTCATGTGGTTAATGTGCCAACAAGTCTGGTACTGAATGTACAGAAATGAAAGATATGGGTCACTTGAACACTGGCAATAAAGTGGACCAAGTGATGGGACATCAGAGTAAAGTACTTGGTTTCCATTTGTATCATTTTCAAATAAATACTTATGTTTTATTTCAGTGAATGAGAAGATAGATTGTAAGTTTAATGCAAGATGTTAAGATAATAAGATTTGGGCCATACATTAAGTGCCTAGGCTTACCATAAACGAATAAATAAATAAAATAAAAGGCAAAATAAGCAATGCAATTGCTTCAATTCCAAAAAGCTCAAGTGAAACATGTGACAGCATCAACACCTTAAAATTAAAAGGACAATAACAGCAGCCAGTTTTGGCTTAATATTATTTGTTCTATAAATGACAGTTACATATTTGACAATCATGACCCTTAAGAGCCTTAAATTTAGGAGGGAGAGGCTGGAAATTACTGCTTGAGTACTATCAGGATGAATGTTCAATGAATTTGTGAGGGCTATTTGCCCCACAGTAAAGGTCCTTTTCCCAACTTAGCTGCAGATATTAAGCCCTCCCCCCTTTTTTTTTTGGTACAGAAGGTTCTTTTTCTAACTGAATTCAGATTTTTAATGAAATAGGCTGAAACTGGTTTGCACTGCTATACATATTATCCATTTATATAATTTTAATTTTTTTGGTGGTTGCTCTCAGGCTATGTATCTCCTTCCCAAGGGAATCTAGGTTTGCTCCTTGTTTTCCTTCCACCAGCAGCCAAAGACTGCTTTATTTAAGGTTTGTAGCCTGTACATGGGTGTGTAAGATTAAGTGCTATGTTTAATAATTTTCCTTCCTGTAATTGTTTTGCTTTAAATTGTATTTTAATGTATTGTTTTAATTGTACCTCTAAGTTACCCTTTTGATGTTAGAAAGCTAAATAAATAGCAAGGCTTTTATCCCTCTCTCTGCCAGGATGCTGTGTGTTCATTGGCCCATTATTTATTTTTGCCCACCATTCAACAAGTTCTCATTACAATTTAAAAAAGTTATACATTGCAACCAATCAATCCACTTCACAAGATTACAATGGAGGGTTGACTCAGAGAAAAGAACCACATGGCACCCTGCATCTCTTGGAGGAAGACTGAAATATAAAAAGTAACAACTTCCAAGATAATCAAAAGCTATATTGAGCCAAGACATTATCCTATTCTTTACTGCAAACTGACACAGTCACTCTCAAAATATTCATTATAGACAGTGCTTCAGAAAAGACACTAGTATCCTGTATTTGTAAAAATGATAGCTTTGGTACATTTGTAGCTTTTGCAAACAGAGGCTTCAGGGACATGGCTGGATGAGTAATTGTAAACGTTCAGACAATTTCGCTTTTCTAAAGTGTGAAATATGGCTGACTACATCACTTCTATATCAATGTGAAGGGGTTTCTTTTGGTACTATGGGTGTACACATTCACACATTGTGAAATAGATTAAAAATAGGCAGAACAACATAGAAACAAAGTCTGAAGAATTATCCAGATGCAAAGGGTTACCATTATTGCCATCTACTGAATTCTGTAATAGCATTAGGTATATTGAAAAAGATAAATTTCTTTGAAAGCTTCATCACCTCACATAGATTGGTTGAGTCATCACCCCCACACACATACTGACTTGATTTGACCCAATAACCAAGAATTGGAGCTTGATATGAAGCAGAGAACTAAACACACTGGGGCTTAACGCTTTTCCTGTACTACCTTTCCTTTTACCAGGTTCCCTGTGCTCACATGACTGCCCTGATATTAAATTTGCAAGTAATGTGCTACTGGTATTGATAGTTCATACAACAGGAAGTATTAAGAACTTCCCTGTCAACTAGAACATCACAGAACACCACTACTGCCATGATAAATAGTGTAAGAGAACAGGTCAAAGAATAAGAATTAGTACCTTGCCCTGTGCTGAAGATATTATCTAAATTAGCAAGAGCTGCGTATTTATCTGCTGACTGGAGATTCGATTTATTCACTGCAGCTTTACTGGCTGCAGTTGTGTTGCTCTGAGAAGCACTGAAGGCTCCAAAATCAGCACTGGAGGATTTGGGGAAGTTATCAAAGTGTGCAAAGTTAGCATTCACTGATCCAGCGCTCCCACCTGTAACAAGATAAGTTAAACATGATAGATACTTCCAAGCTCAATAATTGTCTTTTCAAATGCTACTGGTGCCTATGTGTGTGGGTAGGTTTAAGGGACACATGATTTTAGAAGTTTCTACTATGCCCAAGTCTTAGCTAGTTAAGAAGGTGTTTGTACTTCCCAAAAACAAAAGCTCTAGCTTAACAACACCACAGCAGAACACTGCAAGCATAGGTGTTGTAAGAAAATGAATTGTAATGATTTATATGAGTGAAGTTTCAATTTCCTACTCAAGAATTCATTTAATGGAAAAAATTGACTATTTCTAATAGCAGTGAAATGCCCTTTATCAAAAATATCTAGTAAGAGGAGTAACAATGAAGGTTCCTGAGGATTAATGTGACTTTTTACTCAAGGATTACTGCTGTGTGCATCTCATAACTTCAAGAACAGAGTGCAAAGGAGAAACAGAGGAGACTGTCATTACACTTTTGACAGGAACAAGTGTGAGTGGCAGGCAAATATTTAATGTTTTCAAATTTAAACTGAAAACCTTCCACACAATGGCTGCCACCATACACTCCAAAAAATAGAGGGCACACTAGCACATATAACCTGCTGTCCTTCAGATATTTTGGACTATAATGCCCATAGTCCTTGACCACTGGCTATGCTATCTGGGACTTACGGGAATTGTACTTCGAAACACTGACAAAAACCAGGTTACCTACTACGGAATTAGGATATAAAGTCTACATCGCAAATACTGGCATATGTCTTGGGCAATGTGATTCAAGAAAACATTTGAAAGGCTTGTCTGTGTGAAGTCTGTGAAAGAATATCACAGAACTTGCCAGCTCTATCACTGTAAAATCCCAGGCAAGTTCTTTTTAAGTGTTTTAAATTATGAGTTTCTCCTGTTCAGTTACATTTATACTTGATTTGCAGTAAGAAGAAATTATTTTAACTTTAGCTAGCACTCTCTATATATGGGAAGGTTCTTAATAAATGTAATGAAACAAATAACATTACAAGCCAAGATCTGTTAAAGCAAAGACTAATATAAGAAAACCTGGACATGATAATGGAAACAAAAAATGGCACTGTAAATTAAGTGAGCTGAGTTTCCCACCATGGTGGAACTTACTGCGCATAGCCTGGAGAGGGAAAGCAGAAGTAGTAAATTCACCAAAACTGCAGCTAGATGAAAGCGTTCTGAACGCTGGACAGCCAGAAATTGTGTGAGGGGTTAAAGTTAACAAAAGGGAAAAACAAAATTTTAAAATAAAGTCTTAAGACAACACACTTAAAAAAGGAAAAGGAAAAAAGAAAGTAAGTCAGCCATAGATCAAGACAAGCAATGTGTCATTCCAAGCAAGCTTTATTACAGTGTAGCCAAATTAAAGAGCAAAGCAAAAGCCCTTACACATGAGATATTTTGTTAAACAGAATACACTTGTACTACATTAAACAAGCTTTTTCTCCGATTGGAGCACACTGTCTGTCATTTTGGAAGATAGAAAACAAATGATTCCCTTTTAACTTAGATATAATCCAATATTGCCCACAAATATGACAGATTATTTCATGTGTAGGGATAATTAAGAAGCTAGAATGCAAAAATTTCGTGCCAGAAAAAATCAACACAACCCACACCAAATATAGCAAACAAAAGGGAGCATTCATTTCAGGTTTCCCCAGAGCTTCAGAATATGTGTTAAGACAAGTAGGTGCAGGAAGAAGTTAAGAGATATTCTACACTATGTGTCCAGATTAGTTTTTACTGAAGAGGCTAACAATGTTAGAGCATTTCTACCTGTATTTTGGTGCTGAAAAGCAGACTGACTTGCTGTGGGGAAACCACCAAAATTACTCGAACCACTAGACTGTCCAAATGCATCAAAGTTGGCAAAACCTGCATTTGCAGAGTTCTGCGCTGTAAATTGCAAATGAACAAAACATGTTAATGGTATGAAAATAAAAACAGATCATAAACTGAATCAAGCTTTGAGGGTAGGATGTACTTCACACACGCCACTGATATAAATGGCACTCATGAAATAACAGGATATAGTAGAAATGTTATCCTGGTCCTAACCTAATAGTTCTATGTGGGCATGCAAAACATTAGATCCAATGGCTTCCTCTCTCATGTGGAAAAAACTTCTGAGATCACAATACCTCCATTACAGCTTTCAGTTTGGCATGAAGATGCCTACATTCCCTCCCCCCCACAAATTTGCATCTAAAAGAATGACATTTATTTTATATATTAGATTATTAAACTGCACCCAACAGTCCCTGGGCAGTGAACAACTCCATATGACAACTTCCTGCTCACACAATTTAGCTTAGGAAGTTCCTCTAGGATATTGTCTTCTATGTTTTGCACTGCTATATAGCTGGTTATTTTAGAGCACTGAAGCAGCTGTATCTATTAATTATTGCTCTGCATTTGTAAGCATTGCATTTGTTTGCCACCCCATAGCCAGGGGCTCTATGTTCTTTGATAATATAGCATCCATTTAGATAGCCTCAACGTTGCACTGAAAAGCAATTTTAAGTTTTTTAATTTTACATTTTTAAATTTGGCCATCGTGTAGGCTGAAATTGAAAGGAGCTAGCAAGTTCTCAGCATCCTAGTGTTTGGGTGCGTTTCTCAAACTACATTCCTTGATACATGGCAAGTGGCTTTTGGAGCAGAAGTTCATGTGCAATACATCTGGAAAAGTAAGTAAACTCCTCTTTTGATTGTGGCCTTTAAGAAGTCACCATACTTTAAAAGGAGGTAATAGTCAATAGAAAATGTTTTAAAAAATAATGTAGCATATTTTGGTTATGTGCCCAAAACAAATTAAGATCTTAGGAAAACAAATGAGGACAGCAATTTATTTAAAAGACTGGGAACATTAGGTATGTAACAAATTACATGTAACTATAAGGACTTTTCCATTGAAATTACATATATCTTCCTCAACATTCCATGAAGTGCACAGCTGGAGAATTGGCTACAAGAGTTAGTTCAAACCAATGCACAATTTAGCCCATCCCAGTACTCAACTGAGATTGCCAGCTCACGACAGTACAGTAACCGTGGAATCCACAGTTTGTAAGTTCCCTCCATCCCACAGAGTCCAGACTTAGCAAGCATATGCCTCTTGGTACTCTGGACTTTGGTTTGCAGTTCTCCAACCCTTCCTTGTCAGCCTACTTCCTGTCACACATGTACAAGCCAAGCACCATCCCTTTCCTTTGCTGCTGCTTCCTTCAACAGCAGATCTACAATACTCATTATTTCATTTGAATCATGTTTTTCAGGTCACCACCTATGTTATTATCCTCCCTTTATCCAGCTTGTCTCTTGATAAGCCTTTGTTCTACTCCCTTATCCTTTATTAGCATAGCATGTTGACTTCTCCGATATTTCTCCAGAGTCTTTGGTCACCTCAATACCTTTCTTCTCTTGAGAAATAATTCTTTACCTATTCTTCTCTCCAGAAATTTACTCTGCTCCCTACCTTCATGTTCCTTGCTCCTGGGCTCATTGGGCCATAACATCCCAAAACTTTCTTGCAATGTTCAGCCTGCCCTTACTTTAGGTGTAATCCCAGTCAAATTGGCATATTTCCCCTATCTCACAGAAGTGGGAGTGCACACTGCTTTACACCCTAAGCAATTGGGCATTCCATCCTCAGACAGTGTAAAAGTAGAAATTTTACACAGTACCCTGTAAGTGCCACTGACCACAGAATGGTCCATCAATGTTCCTTCTTTAAAAAGCACCCTTCTTGTTTTTTAAACATAAGTCAGAAGATGGTCTGGTATAGTAGGTAATACTGTGAACTCAGGTCTCTACTTCAAACTTTGCCCAAGGCAGTCATTATATTTTTAGCTCTCTGTCCACAAGAATACCAACCTGTCTTACAGGATTGTTGTACAGTTGACTGAAATATTGTATTCAAAAGCCCTATACAGGGGAGTGTGTGTGTGTGTGCGCGTGCACACACACACACGGCTATTGTATAGATTGAATAATATATTTCAAGTACTGTGAACAAATATAATACGTGATATAACTAAGATTATGATCTTTAGTTGGGATTCCACATACAGTACAATGCCCATCCAAAAGTTCAGTTTAAGATACTATGATAACAGAGAAGCAAGTTTATATGTTTAAGCAATAAATAATAAACTGCTCATACTAGCCAGTGGGAGCCATCCTCATCTCCATAATACCTCTAGAATGACAATCATGGTATGACATCAGCCCACAAGCTATTTTACAGCAAACATGGCAGGTTCCCAAGACAAGAGCAACTGCTGTAGCAGCGACTGCCAAAAAGCCACTATGTCCCAGGGAGCCTCTACCCTGGAAAAGTCTAGTATTTCTTCTGTTCCCTGAGGAAAACACTGAATTTTGCAGTCTGTGAATCCGGCCATGAAACTGAGGTGACTTTTTAATGTAGCAGTGTTGTGATTTTAAAATCACAGGGTCTAAGATAATGGGTCAAAATAAGAATGTTGAAGTATTAAATTAACTGTAAACATGTAATTTATCAAATAGATCAAACATGTGATTTATCAAATAGTTCTCAGCATATAGCCATCTAGCCTGATACAACCACCTTTGCTATGAGAGAGACGGGGGAGTACTGTACTTGGGGGCACTGTATTACAGTGGTTCTGGTCCTACCTGGCCAACTGTGTCCTGATGGTGGTGCTGGGAGACAGCTGCTCTTCCCCACAGCAATTATGCTACGGATTCTTCAGCCCCCCATACTGTTCAACACATACATGAAACTGCTGAGATAAGTCATTTGGAGATGGGGGCTGTATATCTCTTTTTTCATCTAATCCAGGTGAGGTGGTTTCTGTTCTGAATCACTGCTTGAGCTTGAAAATGGACTGGATGTGGGCCAACAAATTCAAGCTCAATCCAGATAACATGAAGGTGCTGTTGGTGGACAGTCTGTCTGACTAGATTCTACCAGTCCTGGATGGGGTTGCACTCCTCCTGAAGGACAGAGTTTGTAGCTTGGGGTTCTTCTGAACTCAAAACTATCACTTGAGTCTCAGGTAGACTCAGTGGCCAGGAGTGCCTTCTTTCAGTTGCAACTGATTTATCAACTACAACTCTTACCTGAACAGGCAGAGTCTAGCTATAGTCACCCACACTCTGATAGCTATTGTAACATGTTAGTCTGGAAACAGGTACAGAACAGGGTGACTCGGCTGCTGGTACAAATAGGACCGTGCACCTATGTGACACCAATACTTTACCATCTTCACGGATTACCAGTGGAGCTCCGGAACCAATTCAAAGTGCGTCTTTTAACACATAAAGCAAACAGCTTTGGCCCACATGTTCAGCCTTAAGATCTGTTTTGGAGGCCCTTCTGAATGATCCATCCTCCAAGGAGAATGGCTAATAAAAGAGCAGCCTTCTCAGTAGTTGTGCCCCACTTGTAGAACAGCCTCACAAAAGCAGTTTACCTGGTGCCTTCACTACAGTCTTTTCAGTGCCAGGCAAAAGCATTTTATTCTCTAGGTATTTTAATAATTTAATTAGGAGACTTTTAAAGCTGCTGTTAATATGAATGCTTTTAAATTAATGTGCCCTCAGTTGTGCACTGCTTCATTTTTTTGTATACTGAATTTTTAATCACTGTTTTTATTGTTATTATATGTTTTATGGATTGTAATCTACTTCAAGGGCCTTTGGGTTGATTCAGTGGATAGTAAGTATACGAACAAACAAACAAACAAACAAACAATCTTATGTAAAACAAGACAGTCCAAACTACATGGGCTCTCTCATTGCTGTTTCTTGCCTTAGTTCCACTATATACTTGGTCAACAATTTTCCTAGTATGTTCTGTAAATGTCTAACTACCTCTTGTTACCTCCCTGTCCCTCCTACTCTGAGAGATGTTGACAGCTGTTTAAGAATCAAGGCAGACAATATCTGGTCAGTTTGCATTTTTATAGACCAAATTTCCTGCTTTATGTGTACATACCTTGACACATTCAAATTGTTACAATTTCTTCATTACTAATTGCAGTCCATTAATGGTATAATATAGCCATTCTTATTGAAGCAAATCATTAAAGCAGTAGTCTGATTTTCATTCTTTGCAGAAGTACATTATTTGCATTTCAAGGAGCTGGATTTCACTATTAATTTTCAATACCAAATCTAGAAATAGGAAATACTGTTACCTGCATGACTGTTGAAATGTGCAAAATTAGCAAAATTTGCTGTAGCTGAGGACTGAGGAGCAGGAGCAGCAAATATGTCCGAACCAAGGTCACTGAGAAGATCAAACTGTTTCTTTTCTTGTGACTGTCCTTGAGACCGAATTACAACAGGAGACTGTAAACAACAATTTGTAGTTGGCTAAACAAACATGAGTAGAGAACAATCCAGAGACTTATTCCTGATGTGGAGGGACTCACTACCTTTATAAGCCAATTTACTTTTCATCCAGATCAAGCTATTCTAAATTGTATTGCAACAAGGAGGTTTGTGAGAACAGCAACTGTAGTAAAATCTCTGGCGCTCACTGACTGAAGTGATGCAAAACTGTGCAGAGTATTCAAAGTGAGGAAGGGAAACATTACAGCCCATTCCTATGATTATTGGTGTAGCTGAAAAAACTCTTCACAGCTGAATGGGAAAGGTTGTCTTAGGTGCTGGGAGGCAAAAGACAGGTAGACACAAGGGGAACAAGCACTGAGAGCATTGTAAAATAAAATGACACCTAGACCTCTTGCAGTTGCCTACCACTGGCTTAGAAGCAGGCAGCACTGAGCTGAGCAAAGTACCATACTAATACCAATGGACTAGGCAGTGAGTAATAGATTTTGAACAATGCATGGCAAATTCAGCCAGGTTTTTTGGCACATTACTTACTTGGGTAGGTGTGCCTTTGTTTAAGCACAATGCTGGTGCAGATTCTCCCAGAAGAGATTTAAGTGGCTTTACTTCTGGCGTACTGCTTGTACTACTAGCTGAGGACCCAGATATAGATGCATGGACAGATGCCACAACTTTTGCTTGTTCTGGTGGGACATACCTAAGACAGATAAATGTATCACATATGAAATAAATAGCAGCCCTGAAATTTATTGTTAGCAGATAACTCAATGTTACTGTTCCAAGCACTATACTGTTGGCAACTAACACTGAAAAACAGTCACCATGCAGAAGCCGTTACAAGAAGCACCTATACTATGACAAGAACTCTGGAGTCCAAATGTTCTGCAACAGTTATATAGGTACTTTCATGAGTAATCCATTTCAATTCATTTTCAGCTGGCCTGTAATCAACTGTAAAATCACTGGCAAACTTGTCAATACTGGTTTTAAAGGATACAGTGAATGGAAATAGAGGGTAATGTCATTTTAAGTATAATGTTTGCTATTTCAGTCCTGAATGTTTATGTCAGAAGTTAAGGTACACTACTTCCAAATCGAGAGAAAAGACTATGCTGCATATCTGGAAAGTGTTACAAACATGTATGACATTTTGCAACTAGTAATAATACCAAACATTAAGAACTGAATTAACAGTACACTAAGCTAGAACTCTGAAAGCAAGCTAATGAAACTAAATTACTTCATAGTTAAAGTGGGAACTAGAACCTGGTACCCCTGATTCCCAGTCCAACATTCTAAACCACTACATCACGCTGGCTCTAAATTACGATAGGAAATGCAATGACATTGGGCTTCTTCCTGGAAAAATCTGATTATGGTTTCCTTGCAAATAAAACTGTCCAGGATTTGCATCAATTTCATGCTTATGCTAGGCAACACACAGATTTTAACTTATCTGCTTTCCAGACATACTAAGGAGTAGGGATTCTTGATCCTTTGGAAGAAATGCAAGATTTCTCCCAGCCTAGCATGGACCCTAGGCCTAGGCTAAGGAAACCCCATCATCATAATATGAAGGAAAAGAAGCCCCAGTGCCTGATAGGGGATAAGCATTTAAGCGGACACTTTGAGCTTTTAGGCCTATTTGGAAATCTAAGAAAAGTTATTTATTTATTTATTTATTTATTTATTAAAACATTTCTATGCCGCCCCTTGCCGAGGCCTCAGGGCGGCTTACAACATCAAATAAAATACAAAATACATTAAAACAATAACAATTAAAATATATACAGTAAAATAAAATAAGCCGCCCTGGCTGAATAAAATTCAATAATTCAAAATACTGTGAGCACCTTCACACAACGATAGCAATGGGTGCCAGTTGAGTTACAGAGGATAATGGATGCTGCCAAGAAACTGAGTTTAAGGTAGAGGCTTCCTTGATCTCCAAAGGAATATAAGAATGCACCTTATAGTGAGTAACAATTGGTACATCTAATTCAGTGCCATCAACATTGAACGTCAGGGTTGTTCAAAGTTTTGACAAGATATTTTCCTGTTCAACTGAGAGGTGCTGTGGGAAATAATTTGGGGCCTTCTGTCTGTAATATGTATGATCTATCACTTAGCTATGATCTTCTCTCGCACAAATATTAAACACACATTATTTCGCTTCAAACTGGTGATGCTCAGAGAACCCCTGCCCCCCAAAACCCCAGACAACAAATATACTACAGAAGGGGTAACCCAAATAACCCCCAAGTTCTACCCTCCTCCTCTCCTTAAATTCCCAAAGTTACCAGGCAGTGGTAGGGGGAGGGTAATTTATCATTTTCTTCAAGAACAGTTTTACTGGCTGACTGGCAAATTTATAAAGCAAAGCAGCATGTGAGTCTTCTATTCTTAAGAATGCGTTTGGTCCCACAAGAGCCTGAGAAACATTCTGTGGAAAAGGAACACAGGCAAGACAGCTGTGGACCAGTGCTTTGCTTTCCAGAACACCTATGGTATACTCTCTCTCTACATATATTTAAACAGGAAGGACAGGAAACCTCAGTGGGTGCCTAGGGAAACATCCAGAGATGCTGTGGGAACTGGTACAACACTGGGAATAGCAGAGATAAACAAATAGTAAGAAAGATTTTGCAAAGCACCCACACAGAATCACTAGCAATATAAATAAAAGCCTGTGGATTTTAATTTTATTATGATTATGATTATTATTATAACATTTCTATGCCGCCCCTTGCCGAAGCCTCGGGGCGGCTTACAACACAATAAGATACATTCAAATACAATAGAACATAATAAATTACCACTTAAATACAAAAATACAAAAAATACACTGAGATACAATAATATAAAATTAAAAATTAACAGTATAAAATAAGTAAATAATGGCTTTTCTATTATCTTTTTAAAAGATTAGTAGTTTTAAACTACTAACTAAACAATGTATGTACTGACCATCTTTTCTTTTCATATTTTTCTTGCAGAAATTCCTTGACCTTTTGAGGATCTCTGAAGTCTGGAATTGCTGATGATCTATCATCAAATAATCCTAGCCAAATCTGTTTACATACCTTTTGAAGGAAAAAAAAATCAGTATTAGGTTAAATCAATCGCAGTCTCATTATTTAAGAAAAATAAAGTGTGCATTAAAGATGGTCATCAAATCCCACAAGGCTTTTTCCCCCCACATACCAATTATTTAAACCAAAAAGCAGAACACATAATGGGCTTGTCATGGGCTTAAGGAGGTACTGTTATTGCTTCTCTCAACACATTTAACACTTCTTCTCTGGTACCATGGCAGTAAAAATTTAAAGCTACTAAAACAGCACACTGATATTTTATATATATAAATAAATTTAAATACATTTTGCAACAGTTATTAAGGAACAATATCAGCTTCTTACCAATCATACTATTAATGGGCTTGTTTCAGATGTTCAAATAGACTTTTTTTTTCGGGGGGGAAGAGTTTAGCCTGTTTTTCATTAATCAAGAACATATATGAACTTTATTTAGAAAGTTCACAAAAGATTGCAACTGAAAGATTAATTCTAGCATGGTTCATACTGTCTTTCATGCAGTTAAAACCATCAAAGTGCTGTGGCACCTTAAGGACAGAGGGAACAATCCTAGGGCCCCTAGAAAGCATCTGAGGAGCCAGAGGATATTTTGGATTTCTAGCCCAAAGGCTAGAGACAGAGTTCTAACCTTGGAGTGGGGAAGTGAGTTCTAACTTCCACTCCCTCTTGCAGCCAACATGGTAACAACTTCACCAATTCAGGAAAGCAAACTTGCAGAGGGGATAAAGGGAGAGTTTCAGTTGACAACAAGAAGAAAAGACTAGCAAAGCCAGGGTATCAGGCATCTTGTGTGTTCTACTGGCTCTTTCCAAAATGCAATCACTACATAGGAAGAAAAAAGAAAAATGCAAGGCACGAAGGCAAAGATCACTTTGATTGTTCCTTCTTCTCTGCAAGTATCAGTTGTGTCAGTTATTGGGAAAAACTCTTTTTTCTAAGCTTTCCTTCCTTGCCCCATTTCATAGGGTTTGGTCAATGCATAGTGTTTGTACAGTGCTATCAACCCTGGACACTGACCCAAAGAGATTCCAGATAGGCTTTTTCTTCTCTTTAGTTTTGCTTCACAGCCATGACAAGACAAGCTTTCAAAGGTATGAGAGATCTCTCCTTACAAAAAGGAGTAGTGCACCCCTTCACAGCAATATTATTTTTTTTTACACATTACACTGTCCTAAGAATAATTTTTCTTTTCCATTAGTTCCTGAGACTCCTGCTCCTTTTAAAAGGTTTTCTTCTGGCAAAACTTCCTGTAGTTTCTTTACAAGGACTGTATGTAGGCTGCCGAATCATCAGTTACTTTTAGAAGTGGATGGATCACATTTTTCATATTCCTAAGAACTCAGAATCTTAAGCAGAACTGGAAAGGTGAGCTCATCCTTAGGACAATGTGGTACAAAAAAAAACAAAGCAATAAAACAGCAGGATCTTATTGCAAAGGATTATAAATCCTGTCTGCTCTTTTTTATGAGTAAAGCATGCCTGTGGTCTTGACAGCTCATCTTTTGACATCTGTCAAGAGTAATCAAAGAAAAAGCCTGTTTAGAGCTCTGTACTCTGACTGGAGGTAGCCTCCTCCCAGGATACTGATACAGCTAAGCCTTCCAAATGGTACTATTGTGGAGCTGCACACCTCCACAGCTGCACAAATGTGGCAAACACAAAAATAAAACTTTTTTTAAAGGAAATATTTAACAATTTTTCCCTACTCCTGTCAGACCCTCCAATGTGCCACCTGAGCAATCTGAGGAGCTGTTCAGTGGCTGTCAAAAAGGAAATTGCAAAAAGCATCTGCCAAGCTGGCTTTTGCTAACTCTGGGGGTGGGGTGAAGGGGTGACAAAATAGTGGGTCCTAAATGACTTGTAATCAAAGAAGCAGAGACAAGTCACTCCTGCCATGAAGTCCTTCAGATACCCACAGTAGGATCAAAGAGGAAGGACACAGTGAAGTCAACAAGTTTGCTGATGACATCACACTAGCTTTGTTCTTGCTACATGCCATCAAGTGATCTCCTACATATACCAACTCTATGAATGAATGCCCACCAAATGTTTGTTCCTTGGAAGCCCTGAGCAGCTCTTGTAAACTTAAGGCTTTATGGAATCAAGCCATTTCATATTTCATCTTCTTCTACCTTCAATTTTCCCCAGCATTATTGACTTGTGCAGAACATCACATCAGAAGAGAATGGATATTTCTGATGGTAATGTTCTTCAGGAGTTCCTCCACCTCAACTACTAGGCAACAGCAGCAGTTGAAGATGACACTGGCAGAAGATATTTCACAGACAACAGCAGGCCCCTTACAACTCAACTATTCTATGACACTCAAGCTAACTTTTCTTTGTACTATGCAGAAGGCCATAGTAAACAAGTTCTGGAATTTCTTACCCTGAAAACCCCATAACAAAACAACCCAAAATGAAACCAAATTATTTAGAATGATTAAAGCCTAAAGGGATTTTAAGAGTTGGAACAATTCCCCTATGAGGAAAGGTTACAACAGCTAGGGTTGTTTAGCTTAGGGAAAAAAGCAAGTAGGGAGAAATAGGATTTAAGCGTGCAGAATTGTGCATGGGGTAGAGGAAGTGGAGAAGGAGCAATTTCTCTCTCCCCCCCATAATACTAGAACCTGGAGTTATTCCATAAAGCTGGCTGGTAGGGGATTCAGGGCAGATCAAAGGAAGTATAGACTGCATAGTTACAATATGGAATTCACTTCCATGAGATGTAGTGGTGGACTCCAATTTACTAATTTGGACAACTTTAAAGGAGGACTGGACAAATTCATGGAGAAGGCTATCAATGGCTACTAATCTTGAAGTTTATATGCTACCTCCAATATCAGAGGCAGGATGGCCTTGTAGTTGCTAGCAAACTTGGGCAGGTGAGTGCTGCATTATTAATATCCTGCTTACGGGATTCTGTGGGCTACGGGTTTGCTGCTGTGTGAACAGAATGCTGCACTAGATGGACCACTGGTCTGATCCAGCATGACTCTTCTTAGGTTCTTAATCAGCAAGGAGTTAGATCAACTGCTGAGTGCACTGATAAGAGAACAACCAACACATCATGCTTATTGCCAGAGCGGGTTGTTGTGACATCGGCACAGCTTATTTCTTGGCTGTTACCTTTCTACATACAGAGACTTGTTGTCAGCACTGAACACCAATGAAGCACATGAAGATTCCCCAGGGTTCATCCTGAGTAACACAAATGAGGATGATGACCAAGAATAGCTGGCTGTCATAAACACAGGCAGGAAATAACTATGACTGAATTTTCACTGTTAAAATATTAACATTGAAGAAATATCTAAAGCATAAGAAAGGTCCCTATGGGATCTTTTTCAAGAGAACAAAGATTGCTATTAAGTTATTTTATTATACTCAAATCCTTGTAAAGAGTGAACTAATTTAAATTAAAACTGTTAAATCCTCTGAAAAGTTTGAGTATATAAACTTCCTCACCTGCATTCCAGCTATTACCTAGAAACCCTGTAGCTTATATGATATCTGTAGGATGCCTCAAGTTTTTAAAGTCATCCACACATATCAAGAGATAGGGTCATTCCTGGTTGCATGCTCACAAAGAGAATGTACTAAAGACTTGGGAACTACATTAAGAATATAAGCAACTGCTCTAGATTCCACAACGGCCTACAAACTGACCCTTTAATACTATTTCCTTGAAGAAGCTTGAATTTCTGTATCTTTAAACAACTAATGACTACTGTTCATATTATACTTCCCGAGAAGTATAATATGAACAGTAGTCATTAGTCTCCGCCCCGAGGTTTCAGCAAGGGGCGGCATAGAAATGTTATAATAATAATAATAATAATAATAATAATAATAGAACAATTTTGAGGGGAAAAAAATCTAAGAGCTGCACAGTTCTTGGCTCTTATCAATGATTCATTTGTACAAGGTCAACTTATACATAATGAAGCTGATATTTGTATGTATGTGTATTGTAAAAGAGTTGAAGTTTGGCACAAATAGACCAACCCTTTTTGACTGCAAGAGAATTCTGAGGATGGATCTTGCAAGAAATAGCCATGGACTTGAGGCATTAAGTTTACCATACGGTAGAGGCCAGTACTCAACAGAGAACATGCCAATTTACACATGGGATAGAATGTCAGGCTGTGAGAATCTTATTTCCATGACGACAAAAAGGGTTTAGCACCCAAGAACAAAGTGGGAGAAGCTTTTAGCTCATGTAAGTCTTGTACCTAGCAATTACTTCTGATCTTGGTTTGCAGGCCTCTATTCATTTGTTTGGATCAAATGTAGCTATGGTTTAAGGTATGTGATTATTGGAAATTACTAAAACACTACATACAAGGCAAGAGAAAATATGAGTGCAAGGTTCATTTCTTAATTATAAGCATGGTTGGATGTTATTTCTGAATAGCTCCTCCCATTTATATTTGTAAACATCACCATGGGATTTATACTTCCAGAATATAAACAGAGTATGTGTCTATCTAAACACTTGACAACAATTTACATTCTAAGTTGACACATCATGAATTGCTGGATGAGCCCTTGCACACATACACAAACATCAAACCTGATTCTAAAAGCAGCACTCCTATGAAAACGCTTAGTCCTCATCCTACATCTGAACTGCCCCCTTTACTGGTTACTATATATGTTAATAGCATTTATTTGTTCAGGGAATTGTTGCAATGGGGACAAAATCTGCTCACTACCCCTGAAACTGAACAACCTAGACACCATCAACAGGGATCCCATAGGTAAATGTGACACTTCTCTATATGCAGACCTCTTGGGATTTACAATAGTGACAGCTAGCATGTATGCATGATGAGTTTGTTTGGGAAGGACCAACTGAGGCACTTCTCTGTGTTCCTCCCCAACAGGGAGGTTAAGGAGGAGATTGCAAGGAAGAGGGCTTTTTCTGTGGTGGTACCCCAACTGAGAAATGCACTACCTCTTGTGATTTACCAGTTGCCTACTTTGTTGAGTTTTAGGTGCCTGGCAAAAACCCTTTTTCAGCATATCTATGGTGCAATCCAGACCACTTAATTACTTGCATTGTTTTTTATATCTTTATTTTTATTTATGTATATTATGATTTTATCCTGAATTAGGGAGGATAGGCCAAAATTCTTAGAAATAGGACGATTACAGGGCAATTATCTCAAGGACAGACACATCCCCAAAGCCAAGATGTACTGCCAGTGGAAGGGCTCTCTGAGGATGAGGAATTCTCAGACATGGGACAGGCCACTGTTATCGACCTTGTGAGAAGGTATCACTAGAGATGAGGCGCCCAACTGAATGAGCAGCATGTGGAGAGAAGGCATGCTCACCCTCTGAGAGCCTGTTCCGAAGAGCCAGGGAGCCAAGGCACATTCATAAGGAGAGTTCCTAGAAGTGGGTTAACTACACTGGGTTCAACAACCCACTCTGTGCATGCTCAGAGGTCCATTCTGGGTGATTTGCACTTGAAAGCAATAAAGAATGATTTGCAAGGAAAATGCTTTGTGCCTGGTGTTTGATTGAAGTGGCAACCTCAACTCCATCCTGAGATGCCATGCATAAGGAAGGCATATAAAAGTTTTAAATAAATGAATAAATACACTCATCACATAGATTCCGTCCCACACTCTGTCATACTGGCTTTCAAACATTAAGGGTAACTGCCTAGATTTTTAAATTTTTTTTCTCCTGCACATCTTCCCTTCTTTCATTGATATTGTATCTTTTTGTAGTAAAAGGCTTTAGGCAGGCGCTGTTCTTTTTATTGATCTGTAAGCCACTCTGGGAACCTTTCACCTGAAAAGCAGGGAACAAATGCTTTAAATATCTAGGCAAAATATCTATATATTCAGTCTGTTGGAGTAAAAATAACTGAAGTATCTAGTTAACTCGATTCCTACAACTGTGAACCTCTGTTTGCAAGCCAGCTTTTTTTCTCTAAGTATTTCTGCTAACAGAAGTTCTGTGAAAGATGTAGTTATTATCTGCCTTCTATTTCAAGTGGAATTCTGCTTGCCTGTGCATTTATCAGAAAAAAATGAGGGGGGGAGAGAGTAATCATGTTAAACTAATAGCAGTAAACTTTTACATTCTTAAGGGAGGAATAAAGAACTACTTTCCTCAGCAAGCAAATGATTTTGACTGAATAAAAATAAGGCAGAATTAAGTTTCACATTTAAAAGAATTTCACAGCAAATCATTCTTTTAAGTTTCACAGTTAAAAGAATGATTTGCTATCATTCTTTTAATTAAGAAAAACCTACAACTTGATTGTATTTGGTGACTTAGCTTTGTGACATTGGTAGAGAGGCTGAGATACTTAGTGCCTAAGAGAGGCACTCAGCTCACGAGATACAGTAGTTTCAAGACACCACACATCAGATGTCAAACATAAACATTTCCTCATTTAAGTTAGATTGTTAGTACTATTAGAGATTATTTCTTTAAAAATTCCAGAATCTATACTTTTTATAACATAAAAATTGTATTCATCTTACAAAACAATTACATTTTCTGGTAATTTCAAAGATCTCCCTCAAGCAACTTCCCCATGTCTCTAAGCATAGCAACAGTATGCTACTGTGACAGTATCCAGTCAGGCAACATGAAAGAATGAGCGCTTCTGATAAAATACCACTCATTTTTAGAAAGGAAGTCACACCCACACTGGAAAATTCACTGTAGCAGCATGCTGAATTGTAACAAGTATCAGTGGAAAAAATAAATATATCAGCAGAAACCTAGAAAACATCACTCCTATTCCAAACTCGCAATTCCATCTCACCAGAGCTGAAAACCTTCATATTGCTCACATATACTAATATGCTTTTTCCCCTTCTACAGAAAGCAAGAAAAAACCCAAATTCTCTTGTTTTCAGAATGAACATCTAAATGCTACTGTCTGTTTGATCAAATGTAAACTCTGTTCTTTAAATGACTGTTTATTATTTTAAAATCAATTTAGTTGATTATGTATTCTACAAGAAATACTTACTTCATTCCCATGTTTCTGGAGAAATTCTATTTCTTGCTGTGTGAATGTGGTCATAGAAATGGACTTCACTCTATGAGGTGGATTTAAACCTCGCCTATAAAACATTAAGTATTAGGATAGTCACTGTAAGAATTGTTTAAGAAAATAGAAGATTCCACAACATTTTAATTTTTAAAATTGCCAACAATTTGAGAAAACATGAGGACTGAAAGAAATTTACCCTTTCCTCAATGTTAATGCTTGTGTTGAAGTAGCTGTTCGAGACACTAAAAATTAGGCCTAATAACCTTAGTTTTGAATTCTGCAATTATTAAAAATCACTTCCAGGTATCAGTACACATAGTTAGCCCTATATTTTAAGTGGCACTTACTCTTTTCAAGCCTTGGAGCAATTTTAATACATATAGTGCTTTGAAAACTTCCCAAATATATGGTCTCATTATGTTGCCTTGAATAGTAATTACTTTGCAAAACTTTATCACTGCAAAACACGAAAATTTGGCCAATGGGTTGGAAATGGAAGTGTAAGAGTGGTAGAGAATCTGAAGTAGAGTACCTGAGGTTTAGAGTTTGTGTAGTTACTGAGAATCTTACTAGCCTTGAAGTTTTAGTAATCTATCTTGAAGACATCTTTTTGTTCTCATGTGTGTATATCCAAGGATAGAGATGTAAAATTTCCAGAAATGTTCAATTTCCAAAATTTTGAATTTTTGGAGGTTCTGGGAAAAATAGAAAAATATGAAATGCTTACTTTCATTGTGTTTTTTACAGAGCTTAAGTCATCTTATTACTTTAGAAACATAAAATGCATTACTTGGTTTGTTCATAAAATTATTCAGTATCACCTCAGTAAACATGAAATTATTCTCCCAACTATCCTTGTATTTAATATACCAAATATGACAACTTTATGAAAAAACCAAGCTATAAATAATACATTTTAGGTTTCTATATTATGTATGACCACAGGGAACATCACCATGTAGTCCCTGAAAATATGACTCTCCAAGAAACAGGAAGAACTGGAAGAAAAGGAAGAAATTTTTCCTATTTGAGGATTTGATTGAAAGGGAGTTTAAGGAAATCTAGTCTAAATGAAAAGCTATTAGAGCTTATTAACAGAGCATTTCCCAGATAACCTTTTAGAAATGGTAACCAGATATATTTTGGCAAAGTGGTGGTGGCTGATCTCTAGAAGGGGGGCGTGGCCTTGATGGATCCCATCATTGCTCCATGTTGAGCAGAGCCAAATGGTTTTCCAGGGAGTGAACAAACAAGTAGCCTGCTGGTTCGAGTGAAGTCAGCAAAACAAGGATAAGCATACATGGGCTAGAGCTCCTTTCAGAAGCCTTAATTTAGTGCCATTTCTGGCACAAAGGCAGGGTACAAATAAAATAGGACTCTCGTGGATATAAAACATATGCCCCCTGAATCCTATTGTACTGGATAATTTATGGGTAGTCCATTGTTAAGCAAGGTGCTCCAGCATGTAGCAGGTTCTTAGTTCCTGAAGTTTCTGCATGAGGCAAATCATCTAGATTATTTTCCATCTGGCTTCAGGCCTAAATATGGGAAAGACACTGCCTTAGTTCTTTTGACAGATGACTTATACTAGGCCTTGGCATATGACCTGTGCCAGGAACTGAACAAGAATGTATTCTTATCAATACCATTGATCACTGGGACAGTGCAAATTGGTGATCTGCAACAGCAGGGGGTTGGACTCAATGGCTTCCTTGTTCCCTTCCAGCTATATTATTCTATGATCCTTCTAAGGCTTCTGTTTGGGGTGGAACTTGGAGTCACTGTTCTACGTGAGGTCCAGTACTTCTTGGAGAGGCTATTTCAGAAGACTGCCAAGAATGACAACATGGTCTTTGGCCTAGCATTTCTCACTGGTTTTTATCTTGTTCTCCATGCTATTTAACATACATGAAAACTCAGAAAAAGGTTATTTGATGTTCCAGGGTTCAATGTCACTAGTATACTGATGAAACATAAATCTATTTTTCCTTTTCACCTAAATCCAAGGAGGCTGTTCTAGTTCTGAATCAGTACCTGATGTTACGAAAGACTTGATGAGCACAAAGAAAGTTGAATTTTAATTCAGACATCAGAGATGCACTCCTGGTCAAAAGTAAGAGAACAGGAATTCAACCAGTGCTGCATAAGGTTATACCAACTGAAGACTTGGGTTTGCCATTTTGGTGTACCCTGGATTCAGCCTCAACTTGAATATGCAGGTTTCAGTGGTGGGCAGGAGTCCATCTGCACTGCTGAGGCTAATACTCAATTACATCCATTCTTATTTCTTAACTGGCCACAGTGATGCATGTTTGGACCACTCTAACACACTCTATGTAGGATTACCTTTGAAAATTGTTTGGAAAGTATCTGGAAATTTCACTGTTAACCAGAGTGATTTGTAGGGAGCACATTACTCCCTTGTTAGATCTGCTCTACTCCCTGTCTGTTTCTGGTGATTATTTAAAGTTCTGGCTGTGATATTTCTTCTCCCAGTACAGGTCTGACCTGATTAAGATATTAGGAAGAGGCCTTCTCTTAGTCTCACTGGCACTGGAACTGCATGTGGTTGGTCCACAAGAGTGCCTTTTCAGTGGCTACTTCCAGGTTCTAGAATTCTCTTCCAAAGGAGGACATATGCTCTCTTATCTGCTGTTCTTCCACTTACAAATATGTTTTTATTCAAGCAGAACTTTAGAATGTAAGCTTCACTGCTGCTGAAGTGAAGAAGGTATTCATTGGTTGGATGCTGTTTAACATTTACGGTTTTTACTTTAATATTTCATGTTCAAGTTTTAACTACAGTTTTGTTTTTAATCTAGATTTGATCATTGTTAGCTATCCTGAATTCCACTTTTGGCAGAAAAATGAAATATTCAATAAATAAAGGTAAGTACCTTTGAGCTATAATTCAAAATATTGTATTTCTGTTTTTAAATTGCCATGAATAAGCATCTTAAGTTTTACTCATTAGCATGAACTTCATTTCTACTGCATAGGAATCAGACTCCTGAGTTCTTCTTAGGTATTTTTTATTTTAGGTGCTTTTTAGGTAGCTATTTATTTTGGTGGCAATGGTAAAAGGTTTTACAGCTAAGGCAACATTTCTTAGCAATGTGCTCTACTTGGGAACATTTTTTAAAGTATTGCAGTGAGTTTGATAGACAAAAATCGAGAGAGAGAGAGAGAGAGAGATCTAAAGAAGAATAGATGGGATAACCAACCCATCAATCCATAGGACTTTGTGACAGAAGCAAGTCTCATGATGGGAAATCGAGCAGGATTTGGAACAGTCCTAAATGTCCATCAGTAAAAGACAGATTAGTTTAATAATTCATCAAGAATTTTAACAAATGGAAGAACTGATTATGCTGGGAATTTCACAAAGAAAATACAAAACACCTTCAAAATTTTCAGACATTTTACATCTCTAGTCTTACATTATGTAATTTTTTAAACTTCAGGGTGTAATGATTGGTTAATAACATTTGTACACACTGGACACTATCCTGCAGGGTGCTATGCCCATGCTGTTTCAGTTGTGCAAGCATCTTTCTTTCTGAATCCATTGCACAAGCAAGACCCACTGCTTGCACAACAGATTTCATGTTTCCTTGAAGAAATCCCCAGATAAGTAGAAATACTCTTTTCTGAATCAGGGCAGGCTGGTGAAGCCAATTTCTGTGAGCTTTGCTGACCTGCCCTTTCAGAAGCTTTCTGGAGGCTCTCAGATATACTAAATCTCCATTGTGCAAGTAGGGATGCTACTTGAAGAACAGAATCAGAGGGGATGTAGTGTCCCAATGTATTCTACATATTTTATTCAGCAGTCACTCATGTTTAAACATTCTAATCCCCCCCCCCAATAATCTGTGTTTCCCTTAACTTTTGAAATAAACACTGAAAAGGTCTTTGGGAAAATCCCCCCTTTTCTAAGGGGTTTTTTATGCCTTCATATCTATATCCAAAGAATGAACTAATTTATCCCACTTTCACCAGTATCCATGTATTTACATTTATTAGGATTACAGTTATTCCTTGAATAAGTAGTTTCTCTTTTGGCTACAGAAAAACATTGATTATTACAATGAAGTGCCCTAATGTTATAAGCATTTACTGAGTTATGGGGAAAAAGTGTTTGCCATCTAGAACATTTTACTTGGTTTTATTTACTAGGAATAAGACCTAGTTCTCCTCACAAACATAGGTCATCAGGGTCCTTTTATTTTTTCTTATATTGTGTGGCTTGGCTTCTATTAACAAGAATTCTATTGGGCTTGTTTGTATATGCAAAGGATCTCTACATACCATACAGATACACTGTAAGCAAAAATGGGAACATGCATTATAAGGATTGTAATTCTCCCCACTCCATACATATTCAAATCATGCTTATCATAAGAATTTTACTAGCATCAGAATACTCTGTCTATAGTAGGTTAAGGATCTACTTTTTTCCTCTCCTTTCAGGAAGGTCATATACTTGGCCCAGGTGCCCTGTGCTCCCAATAGAAACTTGCACCACATTTTGCCAATGCCTGTTAAGTTTAACTACAGGTTCAACAGTAACCATGTCACCAGCAACCAGTAATATGTTCAAAAATTGAGGAGAGAAAACTGAGAAGTACAGATGTTTGCAGCTATTAAACAGGAAGCTTAAAAGTACCTTAAGGCACACCTCTATATAAAGATTATAGTTTACTGCAGGAAGGATTAGTGACTCAATGGAAATAGTGATAGGACAGTTACTATGTACATGCAAAGAAGAATTAGAAAAAAAATCAATCTGGTGCATCTTTTAAAGTATAATCAGATGCCACTGAGTACTACTACTAACAAAAATCTTTCCTATTAAGAGTATGTGAATAACTGTATTTACTCATGTAAAATAGGGCTAGATCACAAATAATAGTAGCTGAACATAGGAAACAATGCACCTTTGGTTATTTTAGTTATTCTTTAAGAGCCATTTTTAACAACAGAGGTAATCAAAGTACCAGCAAAAATAAGCAATTCAAACAAATCAAGAGATGGGAGGTTCAACAAATGACTAAACCATGTCCTGTTAACACCATATTCTTGAAGAAAACAAATGGTATAGGAGAGCAGACAAATGTGCTGATATTCTAATAACTGCTGAAATAAACTTACATCGAGAGATTAACAAGTAATTATTCATCTATTTTGTCCTGAAAGCCCTCAGGATAAACATTTAATTTGCTCGGGAAATTCAATTATCATGAAGCAATGAACACTTATGCACCCCAGCAAAAATGTATATGTCATCTCAGCTACAGGCATAACAAAAAATCCTAAAACAATACATGTGCAAAAAGTATCTGACAAACTTTCCCCACCCATTTTACATGCTTTCAGGATTAGTATCGGAGTTGACACATGACCCTTCCATGTGCTCCTGGAGACCTACCATGCACAGCCCACTTAAACAGGGGACTCAATAAATTATGTTTAAAAAATTAAAAGAAAAATATATTTTGCAGTTTCATTATGAATATTCAAACCACAGGAGAGGAAATAAAATCCTTACCCTACTTTGGACAGTTCATCAGAATCCAAGAAATGATGGAAGAATCTACAAACCGAATTCACCTACCAATTTAATCCCATCAGCTTTTGCTTTCAGATGCTTTCTTCTGCCTAGACTATCCTTCCCGTTATCACCCCAACCCCCTTGTTTCATGCCAATTCTTATCAGTTCCCTACAAATATGAGCTCTTCATTCTGTTCAACTCCAGCCAACACTATCGCATTATACTCAATTCTTTCCCATAGTATTAAGGAGCAACTGATAAGGTGCAGGGTGGGAGACGAAGTATCACCCCACCCTTCAGTCAGTCTCCTTGCAGGTCCCCAAAGGCCTCCCGCCCCCCACTGCAACTGAATCCTTTACCAACAACCAACGCCCCCGTCGGATAAGAAAATATGGTATTGGGGAGTGGACCGTCGCCAGCCCCACGGCACGTATGTTCCCTCAACTCCTTCACCCTCCCACCGCCTGCCTGCAGCTCTCGCTTGTTCCCCCCGCCAGGAGGTCACCCCTCCTGCCTTCCCCTCTCTCTCTCTCCCTCCTCAACTCACAGGATGCCGGAGCAGGAGGTACACACGAAGCTGCCCACCGTCATGTCGGTGTAGGTGGGGCCGCGCTGGTCGCAGTCGAAGCATTTGCGGTTGGGCGGGAGGCTGCTCATTTCCCGCAACAGCTTCAGGTGTTTCTCCTCCTGCTTCCGCTTGGCGCTCGCCGCCATGGCCTCCGCCGGTGGAGGAACCCGGTTCCCTGCCCGCTCACGCCAACCGGAGAAGGAGGAAGACGACGACGACGACGCGGGGGAAGCTGGGACTGTCCCGCCTGAGGCGCGGCGGGGGGAAAGGGGAAGGAGAGGGCAAGGCCTGGACTGCGCCCTCCGCGGTGCGCGCGAGCACACGCAGAGCTCAACGGACGAAAAGAAGCGGGAGGAAGAGGAGGAGGAGGAGGAGCAGAGGCAGCGGTGGCGCGCAACAGAGCCGGGCCCGGGGCGGCTGAATGACGAGCTCAGGCGGAACCTGCGCGACACCTTTCCCAGAACGAACAAGGAGGGGAACGCCGCGGGCTCGGCGATAAGCCCTCGCTCGCGCGTCAAGGGCGTCGAACAGTGCCCCCTTCCGTCCGGGAGGATTCACCGAGTGCCTCTCCCTATGGGGGCCAGTTACCTGGCGTGACCTTCCAAAGATAACAGGACGGAGGAAAAAGGGGAGAGAGGGAGCAATAGGGTTGGTTGCAGGCATCGGCGGGATTCCGGTGGGGAAAGGAGAGCAGGTGGAGGTGGAGGTGGAGATGGAGACGGAGAGCCGAGGGAATCAACCGGTGGTGGTCCATGAGCAGTTGGATGGTGGCGCGCGCGCTCTCGCCCTCTTGACTTCGTGTTGAATGCCCCGAACGGCAGCAAGTGGGCCGAGTGGCCCCCACCATCCCAGTGTTGTGTATTCTGGCAAATGGTGGCTCCTGAGGTCTCGTGACAGAAAGACGAGGAGAAGAAAACAGTATTTTTGTGCCGCCTTTCTGGAACCAGTTACAAATAAGCAGTCAAACTTTAAAAGCAACTTTGAAAACGGTAACAGTTTTTTAAGACTAATTTAAAAAGATGCGTCTTGGCCCTCCCGGAAACAGAGAGAGCTTAGAGAAGCCTTTTCTATCACCTGCTACCTGAGATCTTTTTCCCTGGAGATACCAGGGAGTAAACCTCTGTAATCTCCTGCACTCAAAGCAAGTGCTGTATTGCTGAGCTATGGCTTTCCCCCAGTGCATAATTCTTAGACGTTTTGCAGTGTTAAAAACAACATGTGTCCCAGGAAATCAAAGGACCATTCAGTCTCCATAGGATCTTCAAGGGAGTATGTTGATTTCTCATATTCACCTTGTGATAATTGATATTTACATTGTGTTCTTATGTTCTTCTCTCGCTTTCTGGCTTATCATAACTGTTACGGCTATGTAGTTTTGATTTCATTCTAGAATTTGGCCAGCTCAAGATTGTTGGGATTTGCAAGATGGTGGGACACAGTTGCCCCCTGGAGATCTATCATGGGAATATATTGGCTCATGAGAATGCAAAATTGGCCTTTCTTTATATAGCAACTACTGCAAATGAGTTATTGCAGTAGCTAGACGTTTCTGATTAGTAATATGAGAGCAATAGATATTTACTTAAAACATGAGAGATGCCTAATAAAAAGGATGCATCAATCTCAGATTGTGTGGTTCAGCTTCACTGTGGTTCTTCAGTAGTGAGAGGAAGCATTCAGCACATCTTCAGAGGTACTATCATTAGAACTCAGCATGTTCTAAAGCTCAGCTTTGACCTGGAGATTGTACTTTCATTACAATGTGAACAGGTATAATGCAGCAACTAGAAGACTAAAGATGCTTCTGGGAAGGTTTTCATCTTGCCATTGCTTTGCCTCATCCATGGAATTTTATGGGAGGGAAGGAAACTTTCCACTTATAGTCCTGCCATATTTCCCATCATGCCTTTTTTCTTACCAGAAGAACAGAATTCTGTTAAGGAAGAAAGGCAGATTGCCTTTTGGCTGATAGCACTAGGAACCTGGCATTTAGAAATGTCTTGCACTACAAATTGGGAAGCCCACTGAACACTCCAAAGCACTATGCAAATGATGATTAATTTTCCATATTAGTTTTTAAAATGTAAGTCCAATTATCCTTATTTCATTCAACTCACAAGAACTGTATATTGACTTGCTGTTCCTATTGACAGATGGGGCATTTAAACATTCTTGCTTTGTGGTTCCTAAACTTCATGAGCAGTCTAGGCTGTTTTCACTCATACATTACACTGACATGAGATCACATTGTGCCAACTTTCTGTATTCTTTTGTGCTGAGGAGGCAGGTCTGCATAGCCTTAATGCAAGACATGTGGCTCAGAGTTCTCAACTGATTTTTCTTCACCATTTCTCTAGAAGAGGGATGTTTGTAATTTTGCAGGCTAGGAGACAGAGTATAAAAGTGACTCAGGTACCTAAGCAAATTCGCAGCTGAGCTGGGATTTAAAGTCCTTCCAAATCTTAGGTCCAACGATTTGCCCATACTGGCTCCTACTGAAGCTCCAATTTTGATTAATTACTGATTTATAATGGAAATGTGCTGAAGAATATATTTTCCTAAACTGTATCTTAAGAACTTAAGAGGAGCCAAGCTGTATCAGACCGAAGGTCCATCTAATCCAGTGTTCTGTTCACAAGCAGCTGCCTGTGGGGAATCCACAAGCTGGAAAGGAGTGCAGCAGCACCTTTCCACACACGTTACCCAGCAGCTGGCACACATACCCACACTGCCTCCGAGACTGTAGGTAACCTGTAGTTAACAGAACTAGTAGCCATTAATAACCTTATTCTCCATGAATCTAATACCCTTTTGAAGCCACCCCCCACTCCTCATACCATATCCCCACAAACTAACTGTTTCACACCCAGTGACAGGAGCAGCAGCAATTCCAGCTCTGTACCCGATTCTTGACACTTTACAGTACAGGGAACTGGGTGACCAGAAAGGGGGAACCATTGACTGCACTCCCATCATGCTCCTTGTCTTCACTCAGAATCCCATCCTGAAACAAGCAAAGTCAGATCCTGCTCCAATGGGATGGAAGTAATACCAATGTACCACTCTCTAGCAATGGACACACTATATGTTGCAATGTTGAATATTTTACTTAACATTTTCAGGGACAGTGGAGGTTTTGAAAGGAAAAGGCATATGAGTTGACAGCCAGTCACTCCAGCAGGGCTCCTGTGCATTGGATAGCTCAACAGAGTGCTGTGTAGCAGATGCAGTGACCTTCATAGGACCTTGACAGCAGCAGCATATCTTCTCTTCATACCCTGCCAGCATAACTGGTACATGGGGACTGGTCTGTAAAACTGCAGCTTCTAACATTAACATTCATTTCCACTCTAAGAAGCTAATTCAAGGGGTTTTAATGCCACAAATGCATTCCATTTTTAAACAAATAGGAACTGAAAGCATGCTTAGATACAGATGAATGTTTCTAAAAGCTAAGATCAGCTCTCATTTTCATGTCTAAATTTCTATGTGCATTACACTCTGGGGAAAATATTTCATAGTGGAATCTATGGTCTTACACACTCATCCATTCCAGTGAAATTTACATAGGGGAAATTCCTAGTGAATTATGTGATTTTGCAAAACTAAACAGGACCTATCAGGCTAGTGTCAAGTAGGGAGTTTCAATGAAAATGGGTAAAACCTTTGTAAAAATGTGTTACAAACCAACTTGAACCAATGCCTGCAGTGCACATCTTGAACAAAAGAAAGTACAACAAGGCCCAGCCATGGCCTCAACGGATGATAATAAAGATGCTGGAATTTCAATTTGGGAGCGATAGAGATATTCATTTTCCTCCCAGATACAGAAATGCAGTACAAAGGATTAAAAAAATGCTCTTCGCTTCACAATGAAATGAATGCTGCAATCTGTGGAGATAGGGCCCCATGTAAATCCTTGCTCCATATTAGCCACTTTTCTTTAAACAAGTTTAAAAGATCAAATTTATGCGGAAGAAAAATGTAATGCAAAGATACATTTTTGCTGTACCCTTTGATTCAGTTCCATTAATGCTAAACATGCTGGATGAATGTAGCAGAATTTCTGTGGCAGACTTATATTTAGTAAATAATGGAAATAAGTGAAACCAGGCATTGCAATAATCAATCCTTTCAGATATATATATATTTCATTCCTCATTATGAGAAATTATATACAACTATTTTGTTGCTACTGCTTTCATATATTCTGATGATCAAATTCTCTTCCAGCTGACATTATAAATCCTTTTGTAGGTGTATAATAGGACATATATTTGACAGGTGTATAGAAAACCACGCGCACAAACCACAATGGAGCAACAATGAACCACAGCACTCAGTGAGAACAGCTCCTATGTATGTGGAGATGTATACATGTGAAGTTCCTTCTTGGGAATGGAAATAACTGGCGAAAGATTCTGCTTTGTGTGCCGATAGATTTCATGCATGTAACACATACTCATTGAGGCTGAACATACAGGTGCCAAAATTCTACTGGAGTGGTGTTTGTACTCATCAGACAGATTTACCACATTGGGCTTCTTAAAATATAACACAAATAATCCATCTAATTCAGATATAAGGAGATTTAGAAATATGAGTAATTCTACTGGATACCACAAAACAACTGTCACTGCAGGGTTGCCTGCACAGGTAAGGCAGCTAATTACAAAAGATAAATACCCTGCCCAAGAAACTGAATATAGGTCAAAAGTTGGATCTACACTTCAAATAAAAAACTGAATCCCACATAGCGCAACCAAGTATGGTATAGTGGGTAAAGCTGTGGGACTGGGTCTCAGATGATATGGGTTCTAGTTCCCACTCAGCCATGGAGCCAACTGGGTGACTTTGGCCTGGTCACAGACTCTCAGCCAAACTTACCTCATAGGGTTGTTGCTGTGGGGATAAGACTAAGAGCAGGAGGAAGATTATATAAGCTGCTTTGAGTTATTTGTAAGAAAAAAGGATATAAATTTAATAGGTTTCTATTTCACAGAAGGTAAATCAATCCAAGGAGAACCAGTTGCTTGTTCAATCCAACAACTACTTTCCAAAGTGATACTAAGTGGAAAGAAAAATCTTCTATCACCAAATTTATTTACAGGAAGGGAAACTGATATTTTTACAACTCAGTTTTCATAACTGTTGACTCATTACACTTTAAACTTAAAATAAAGCCTCACTGCAGGTAGAAGAAATAACTTTTTCTGCCTAAGTGCTGCTAATGGCACTTTGTGTTCTCTGCTTCTGTTGTGGAGAAGAATAAACCCAGGGTTTCCTATTCTCAGTGAACCCATAAAGTTTTCGCAGAGCCACACGGGCAGCCTCATCTTCAGCAGCTAATATTGTTTCACCAGTACCTTCAGCCAGAAGTTTCTTATCACTGAAAGGAAAACAAATAATTTTATGACTTCTTGATCGTTACCATGCATTCCAACATAAATAAAAGCAACAGCAATTGAGCATCCCTTTAACAACTAAGAGCAATGTAATAAATATTAACAGAATGCTTTCTGTATATTTTAATTGCTTTCTGTAAATCTTTCTGAGAGCATTACACTAATCTGAACAGTATAGAATTACTTTAATCAAATAAATAATACATTTGAGCAGTTCTAAAATAAAAAGGCCATAACATATAGAAATGAGTTCTTTAAAACTTTTTGAATACTATTAGAATTTTGTCCATAATGACTGCAGATGGTGTTAACATGTTTCTGAACTGTACAATATCAAACTGCCTTTGGTAATAAATCTGTATTTCCTGGTGCAAACTCCCTGTATATAGAAAACATTTTTATTTGGAGAATTAATCCTGTAGGACTCAAATAGCACTGTCCAGAGTTACCAATGATTTGCCAACTGTGTAGGTCCAACTTAATATTTTTTCTGGATTTCTATTTTCATGGATCTTATTTGCTGCTCTTATACTTCTTACTGTGTTCTATTGCACTGATTTTATGTTGTACACATATCCAAATCAGAGAAAATGCAACTCTTTTATACGATATACCTCAGACTTTTCAGAAATCATGAGGATAAAAAGCCAGTGCAGATTATTTTACTGGCTGTAAGCCACTGCAAGTGGGATTCCATCTGTGCCACACTAAAGTCCTCTAAAGATCTACTCTTGTGATTCATGCCAATATAAAAAGGTAAAGGTTTCCCCTTGACATTATGTCCAGTCATGCCTGACTCTAGTGGGCAGTGCTCATCTCCGTTTCCTAGCCGAGGGAGCCAGCATTTGTCTGCAGACAGTCTCCGTGGTCATGTGGCTGGCATGACTAAACACCGAAGTGCACGGAACGCTGTTACCCACCCACCAAAGTGGTACCTTTTCATCTACTTGCATCTGGATGCTTTTGAACTGCAAGGTTGGCAGGAGCTGGGACAGAGCAATGGGAACTCACTCCGTTGTGTAGATTCGAACTGGCAACCTTTCGATCAACCAGCCCAGCAGCACAGCAGTTTAAACCACTGCGCCATCTGCAGTCTCTCATGCCAATATATCTAGACCCTAAATGCACAGTCAATTCTCAAAGGATGTTTTGTGCAGTTTGGGCCTATGCATGTTGCATTTTTCATGCAAACAAACATCTACATATACAATCAGTGGGCCTGGAAGAAATATAAGCTGTCCCAGATGGCAGGAAAGGCATGATCCCAACATTCACAGTCAGTAAGCTCATTAGAACCAATCTGAAGCCTTACTAACCAATACAATCCAACAAAGTACAAGGGCAGTGCAGTGGTAGCTCCTGACTGTCTGGTTAGTCTTGATTCTGGAGCAGATATATTCCTCTTTGCCAGTTCCTCCAACAGCAAGCCCATGGGGTTGATAACATTCCACATCTCAAACAGTTCTTTTCCTATCAGTTGAGGAATGAAGAAGTCCTGAATATAAAAAGGGGCAATTTTCGTAAGTCAACTTGCTTTGGTTACCTGGCATGTAAAAACAAGTACAGTAAATTAAGTATTTTAAATTGATAATCAGAATTGCAAAGAATAAAATTGCTCTTGTTAATGTGCAAAAATGCTAAAAAGTGATACTTCGGTGTCAAAATATATGCATTATTTCAATTATAGGTACCAATTCAATCAAGCTGGCTGGCAAGTTGAGACTATTATAGAATCCACAATGTATTAAAAGTCAATCAGAACAATTAATATGTACACAGGTATGTTTTTTGCTACATCACACTGTCTATTCTAAAACAAACACAGTTCACAAGTTCCTCATAGCCAAGGCTATTTCCATTAGTGTGCTAGTACAGAGAAGCCTCATCTAACTTAATGAGACTGAGGCAGGCACATTGCATCCTTCTTTTGAGGGTAGTTAAAAGCCAGTCTGTCAAGGTGATCTGAGCTAGTTCCTACAAACAGGCTGATAGTATGCTGACAGTGACATTAAGCACACAAGAAAATCTATAAAGAAACAACAGTTAAGCTAAAGTTATTTCTGATCTTCAAAGGGAGTACAATGATGCCTCTCCATATACATAAGGATGTAAGAATCAGAAGCTACATCAGGGAAAGGTATATAAGCTTGAATTATGAACACTGGGGGCCAAAAGTTATTAAGCCCACCAGAAGGGTTAGCTTTAAAGATTTAAATCAAGCATCAGCATTTTCTCTTAAGTAAAGCCCTTATATCAGCATGTTTAAAGTTAGCAAAGATGAAGACTGGACATCATCCTAGAAGAAACTAACCATCAGCATGTTCCAACTGATAGATGAAGAGCAGAAAAGGGAAGGAAAGCAATTGTGATTTGTAAGCATGCTGAGCCAGGACTTACCAAGGAACATCATATGGTTAAAACCAGGGCACATGAATGTAGCCAGAGTACAATTCTCTTTAGGTTATTAACAGAAAGGGGTAAAATGATGTAAGGGAAGAAAAGTCTAAAGAGGTGGGTGCAAAGATTATAGTAACTAGCCAGTACAATAACACATCATATCACTTGTCCAAGTGTGAAAATATAAAAGTAAAAAGAAGGTATTAGGTGTGGTTGCCTTTGAGGGTACGTTGCTGTGCTAGCAGAAAGCTAAACTAACTGAGAATTTATGTTCTTATTGGGTAGTAAGTTTGGAAAAACCATCCAAATAATTTATTTTTCCTGCACTAGACTGGTCTACGGAAACTTACTTTATTAAAGACACTGTTGTTTAAATTATAAAAGCTCAAATACATTTGGGGACAAAATTATTTCTCCTAAAGGAAACTTACCCCTAATTCAGTTTAGAGGGTCCCATTTCATGTAGCAGTCACTGACATTTATCAGACCGAACAAATTACTCCAAGACCCACAAGACCAGCTTTTGCCAATCAGGCAAGATCAACTCCCACTAGCCTTATTCAGGATAGCGAATGGACAAGAATGCTAAGACTTCTAGGCCAAAACATATGGAGGGCATTGGGCAGTAACAAAACATAATATTCTACCAACCTAGTATTCTCCCAACCTAGTTGGATGTGCATGCATTAACTGCTTTAATCATTAAATATATCTAATTGTAGAAGCTGTAGAAGATTATGGCCTACTGATGTTTGAGCAACAGGATGGAATTTACTATTCCTATGTTATGTCAGGCAGCATTGTAGCCCTGGATGGGTACAAACAAACAATTAATTCTGCTATACATAATAATGTTATACCAAGCAATAACTTACCCTCACAAAGATCTCTGTCCTCTGAGAGCCACTACTTTGAAGCAGTGCGCCTATTACGGCAAAGAAAGTCTGCCGAAGCACATTAGGCGGCACAGGAAAATCTGCACAAAGGGTCATATCTTGAAGAGACAGATTTCTGGCCAAATAAGACACTAATTCTTCACTGGTGAGATAGTTAACAAGTGCTTCAATACCTGCAGGTGGCATTTTTGGAAATGCCTCTTCAAAGCATTGTTGGAGGTAAGAGCAAACAAAAGATGCTCCTTGCAGAGAAAGTTCCTTATTGTCCTGGAGATTAAGAGCAACTGCTTCCTTCTCTATTCCCAGTGCTTGGCGTTTGGATTCTTCATGTTTAATATAACAACAATTTACAAATGCGGTTTTCAGAAGGTTCAATGAAAACTCCTCATTTATCCGGTGGCCAAAAGCCTCTATTTCTGCATGATAATCCCAGTTAGGCTTCTCAGAGCTAGAAAGAAAAATAAAATATTAAAGAATTAACAGTAAATTTGGTAACATCAGTAATAGCAAAGAACTGGAAGGAGATACAGGATCTTCAGTTAATTTAATGTTATTAAAAAGTTTGGACTATAGCTGTTAATGATAAATTGACATGAGGGATTAGGGTGAAAAAAGGACTGATAAAGAAGAATGATTTTAATAATATGGGGGTTTGTTTTATTGAATATGTATTAATAAAAGGGGAGGGTATTAAACCTTCAATGGATGCAAAGCAATTTTGGATGGAAGGGGGTATTCCTGAAAGATCAGAAAAAAGAAGCCAAAAGGAAAAAGAAAAAAAAAAAAAAAAAAAAAAACCAACCAGCCAACCAAAAACAAACTATATAGCCATGGTCCTGGTGGAGGGGTGCACTAAGTGTGACTTTTTAAAATATATTTTTCTCTTTTTTTTGTTCATTTTTAGTGTTATAAGTGTTTGTGTTTGTACTCTTTCAAAAATAAAATTAAAATAAACAAGGCTTCTCAGAGCTACATATGATCAAAATAAAACAAAAAGAGAAAATGCCAAATGTGGGAATGCAAATCTTTAAAGTGTGTTATGTGCAATAAAACAGTTTTTCTGGAATAAAATAAATAATTGCTACTAGTAAATGCATTTTGAGAACAGAATTCTATCAACATTGTCTTTAATTGCTTTAATTCACCTCATTTCCACAAAAGAATTATTATTTTTGCTCCAGATCATAGAGAATTTCTACAAGGGTAAATTAATGTACCTAATGTTGATCAGGCCAGCAGAAAGCAGGAACAAACCGCAGGTGTGAAATACAAGTACGGAAATGAAAGGCCTCTGCCCCTTTTGCCGTATAGCACACCACAGGCTTCCTTGAAATGAAGATGTTTCCGTTGATTCAAACAAACTAATCCTAACAAGTCTTACACAAAAGGGACACTGAAAACAATGTAGTGGGGCAGAAGAACCAAAACTACTTCATTTCTGCATAATGCATAACCCACATTTCTTGTCCCCACACCTTGTGGAACAAGTACAGCCCATGTCAAATTATGATTAATTTCATTTCTAGCTGAACCACTCTGGACAGTTCACAATGATCTATATAGGAAAAATGACATATAGACATTTATAAATCTAGATCAGTTAATCCAACCCTAACATAACTTGCAGGATATGTTCACTTTCTAACAAGGATGGTTTCTGTCCATCCATTGTGTACCAGACGGGACATTTTGTACCAGATGGGTGTGTCTCTTCTAAAATCTCAGCACCACAGATAGTAAGTCATCAATCAGTTTTGGCAAACATGGTCATGCAATTCATTCAAAAGCATAATTTAATTGTTTTAGGTTTATTAAAGAAAGTATAATTCAGGGTGCAAAATATATGTGAATATCCCTATATAAACTTAATTGCAAGGGTAGTAAATTCATGGATATAACTACCTGACTAGAACTTTAAGAAGGAAATATTATATATATATTTAAACTTAATATAAACAATAAATAGCAGTGTTAATTACAAATAACAGCATGATTATGTTCATATATAGCAGGGGTCCTCAAACTTTTCCAACGGGGGGCCAGTTGAAAGGTGTCAGCAGTGGGCGTGGGCCGCCAAGGCAGTGCTGGCGGGGGGGGGGGGCATGCACGCATGTGCAAGGCGGGAGCGGGGGTCACACGAGGTGGGGGGCGCACGGGGCGAGGCAGCTGCTTGCTCGAGTGGAGATCGTTTTATCCGAGCGAGTAAGCCTCGTGCCCGCACACACGCAAAACCTCTGGGGCAGGCCGGTTAAATGGGCATGGATCCGGATTGGGCCCATGGGCCGTAGTTTGAGGACCTATGATATATAGCATGCCAGAATTTCTTTATGATTCACTAGCTGTGATTTTGCAGAGAAGGATTTTGTAGAGGAGCACCAACTAACACCCCACTTTCAAAATGCTCCTCCATGCACAATATTTAGGGTGAAGAAAATGAGTATAAACTGAAAACATATCCTGAAAATCAGGTTAGGACCAGATTTATCAATGTACAAACATACAAATTTGTACCCCCCTTTTCCTTAAAGCCACTTTTACATTGCCAGCTCCACATGAAAAGCACTTTAAAGTCCTATTCTCTGCATATCTACCCAAGTAGCACTGCCACTGAGTTTAATAGAACATTATCCCAGGTCAATGTGCACAGGATTCCATCCTCAGTGTAGTAAACTAATACAAAGCTGGAGAGATCATCACACATTTTATGTACTGGAAATCAGTAATATCTGGATCCCAGAAACCTAGAGATACACAGTACTTTTAATGGCAACTACTATTCTTCCACACCTTTCATTGCTGATCTCATTCATGAAATACACTAACCCTACCCTGGTGCACACCCCTAACCCTAATATAGGGATAAAATACCACCAAAAGGGGCAATTGTGAAAAAGCCTTCCTTTAGTAGCTTTTTCTGCACAGCTCATCATTTCTGCCCATTCTAAACACATTCCAGCCATCAAAATCATGCCAGGAAACCTCGTTTTTGTAACCCTAACCCTGCCCTGGTGCACACCCCTGACCTTAGTACAGGGCTAAAGATTCATTAAAAAGAGGATGATTTTGAAAAAGTCTTCCTTAAGTAGCCTTTTCTACCCAGCTCATCCTTTCTGCCCATTCCAACCATCAAAATCATGACAGGACACCTCATTTTTCTAACCCTTACCCAGTGATGGTGAACCTTTTAGGTTCGCCACCACTGCACTAGGTTAATGGACAACATTTTGCTTAAAAAAGAAGTCTGAAAAGGTGAAAGCTACCTTTAAACCTTTGCAGGTGTAAAAACATGGAATATGTGTTTCTCTTAGTAAAACCAATATTGATTTACTCTTAATAATAATCTATAATACGGGAGGGTGTGTTTCTGTCCATCTGTCTTCACCATTGGTTCAGGGCCATGAAACCTAGATATCTGAATTGCCATGCATACTATGGGGATCCTAGTAGTGCAAACCTTGTTTTGCTTTGAAAACTTAATGTGTCCATGTGCTTGAAGCCATTCATTAGTTGGTTGCTAAGCTGTTCATAACTTTTTATGACACATGTTGAAGCCGGGGGAGAACAGACAAATGGATAAAGCTGTATTCAACCCCAATGCTGTTCAGCGGTTCACCTGAAGGAAATAGAGCGGACAAACTCCAACTTCAGATAATAGGGATGCACTATTGCACGTGCCATGAAAGCAAGTGAGCTTAGTTTCATTGTAATAGGGTTCTTACTACATATATAAATCTGATAGCTGGTTAAGCTTGCTTGAAGGTGTCAATATATCAAAAGCACTAGTCCTACTTCTGTACAGCTAGTTCTGAGGAATTTAAGGAACAGTTATGCAGTTCCTCCCTGCCCACGGATAGAGCAGCCTTCCTGTAACACAAGTGGAATTAAGTGGGAATATTTCCCCCTCAGGGAGTAAAAGGGATACCACTATGGAGTAGTTAATAGTATTGAACTAGGGCTAAGTTAGTCATAAATCTTACTTGGCTTCTCCCTCTCAGTCTAACTTTACAGGATAATTGAGTGAGAAAATAAAAAGCACACATACCACATTGCGTTCCTTAAAAGGCCCAGTATAAATATAATTAAAAAATCAAAAACAACAACATGCACTATGGCACAATTCCTGTCTGGAAGTGCCAGCAGGCATGACTTCACTGAGATGAGGTACATTAATACTCCCTGCGTTCCTTGTAGGAAAAAAAAAAGACTGGCTGTAAATATACTAAATAAATAATTCTCGCTCTACAGAGGAGCTTGCTTTCGTGGTAAGCCTGAAATCGGCAGTTTTAGATCAGGAAAACAAACGCTTCCTAAGCTCCTCTTCGTTCGAACACCTCCAGTCCAGGAACCTTTCTCCTCTCACGTAGCCATCCTAGTCGAAATGGAACTCCCCTGGCCAGCACCGATCCTTTCAGGCCGTCCCTGAAGAGTTCTGCAGAGAGACAAGATGTGCGGGCCTCCCGAAATCTCCGCTCTTTGTGCCCCCACCCCCTCTCACCGGGGCTTCGGAGGCTCGAGCCGCCGCTGTTGCTCCAAGTAAGCGCGGACCCAGCGCTTGTTTTCTCGACGTGGTTGGACGCGAAGCGCAGCATGTCCAACCGGAGCACCCAGGAAGCCCTTGGTGCCATTCAGAAACACAGACCGAATTAACGCCGTCGCCATTGTCCCGAAAGCGGCAAGGCACAGGAGGACGACCCGTTAAAACAGCCGCCCGGAAACCAACACCACCTCCCTTCATGTTCCGGCTAACTAGGTTCCGCAGCTTGCAGAAATCGGAATTGGTTGAGTGTCGCAAATGGGGTCCAGTTCGAGAAAGGTGGGCTAGGACTCTATAGTGCCTTTTGGCTGAACAGATAACGCAAAAGAAATGCAGTGCATTGGCTGGTATGTTGATCTGAGGAGATCCAGTGTTATAATGCCTACTCAGCAAGGGAGTTTTATTGCAGGATCTCTGGCCAGTCTCTGCCCTCACCCTAACCTACCTCGCTAAATCATTGCGGAGATTAAAAGGAGGCATACATTCATTTCCTGGGGGAGAAGAATTTATGATAACTGTTGATTGATTCAGTTGGAATATTTATGTCTTTAAGGACACGAACATATGTTGCCCCTCCTTGCTTCATTGCAAAGCTCTTTATCTCAATATCTGATGTAGATCTCCAGACAAGAGCAAAATCAGCTTATACTTTTACAGCAGCATGTATTCGGGACATTACACACCCCACTGGCCCTGAGTGTTAGGTTTATTTCTGTAGCACCCAATATCTGAAGCTTGGCACGTAACAACAATTCGTTCAATACAAAAATACGAAATGCAAATACAATAAAAAAGATTTCGATACAATTTTTTTTTAAAAAAGTACAGGCCCCAGGGTTTCAAATATAAGAGGAGTTTCAGCCATGTACGGCAACTTGTATTTCAAATAATGAAGCGCGCACGGGGTGGGGTGGGGTGGGGGAATCCAGAATATTCTTGTAGAGAACAAAGGCCTGTACTCAAAGTGCCTACAAAACTTTGTAAAATAAATTTGTATTTTGAAGTGCTTAATAGTTGAGTCTATGCTACAGTCTTTTAAAGGGGTTACTATTTCTTGCTAGGATTGTAAAATAAAACCACAGGTAATGATCAAAAGTAATGGGAACTGTAGTCATATCAGAAGAGCCATGCTGAATCAGACCAGGAGTGTAGTGTCTAGTCCAGTGTTGTTCATATAGTGGACAAGCTGCCCACTGAAAACCCACAAGCAAGACATGAGTGTAATAGGTTGCAATAGTTGCTCTGTGTACCTAAGCAACTGATGTACATAGGCATACTGCCTCTGATACTTGAGATAGCATATATCCAATCAGGGCTAGTTGCCATAGCCGCCATCTCCAGGAATTGGTCCAATTCGTGCATCTTGAATTTCCCACCAGTCCAGGGGGTGCCAAGTTGGGGAAGATAGGGCTAAGTTATATGATGAAATATTTCTCTCAACACCCTTTTAGTTTAAGGTAAATAGTTAAACAATATGCCAGCAATTAATTTCAGGGAAAAAATCAACTCAGTATATCTAAAAAAAAAAAAATAGCCTATGCTGACTTAAGTAGCATCAGTTACTAAATTCACATACATCATGTACTGATCTCTTCCAAGCTTTGTCAAATGGTTAGTACTTAAGTGCGCTGTTGGTGTTTCTTCTACAGCAAACACAAGATAAAGTTTTGTCCATTATGTCATTCTGAGTATCAGACATCTTCTTGGCACACTCATATTATTTGTCTATACCTTGATCAGTTTTATTGTTAAGCTCCAGAATTTCTTTCCTCGCTGTGACAGAATACTATGGTTACCTTTTGTTAATGATCCACCTAAGTCATTGTATCCACATTCAGCAAAAGAGTGGCCAGTATTCTAACATCCAGCCCTAATATAGTGCAAGACTTCTTGAAGTTCTTTTAAAAATGATGTAATGTATAGCATAACAAATTTAACAAATTCTATCGTTTTTAAAAGAAAAAAAGAATATATGAATACCACTTTTTACAGAAAGATACCCAAATGTTGTCTTTTACATAAATGAAGCTTGCTAGATTGGATTTTACATAATCTCCATAATATTCATATTCATTCCTTAACTGACTGATGTTCTCATCAGTACTATATACAATCATTGCTGCATATATGCAACAATTTTCCTATAAAGAATATTGCCATTTCTAATATAGGTTAGTAAAAATAAAAATATAACAGTTGAATCTCACAAAGTATTATTTCTTTTCACTGATTTGCAGTAGATTACCAATATTGTTTTGCTTTAGGTTTAACTATCATAAATTCATGTACAAATGATATTACCAACACATCATGTTTATCAATTTGTTAGGTTTATTAAGTTGTATATGCCACTCAGTAACTGTTTTCTCTAAAACTGATTTTCAAAGGTCCTGTTACCATAGATATTCTCAGATTATAAAAGATATGTTCATATCCAAAGCCTGTGCTAGCTTTATCATTTAAATTCTGATGTGTTGTGGCTCACAATTTTAGAAATTTTATACAGTATGCCATAATATGTCCCATGCATGAGATTAGGTTTTCAAAATCAATCTCCCTCTTCCAACCCAGTTCTTCCTTTTTGTTAACTGGCTTTGCAAGTATGTTCTCACCACAAAATATTCAAATAGAGGGAATATCACCATGCCCATTCAATTTTAATTACCATACCACTAAACTTCAGAATTTCTAATGATATATATTCCACATTTTACATTTATCAGTATTACCAAGTCTCCTTGTAAAATTGAATTGAGTACCTACTACCAACACCATCAGTTTTAACTAGAGGCAGTATAGATGTGTATTTGCCACATATTCTAAAAGTATTTACCAATATTTATTCATTTTAGTTGGAAATCTGTTTCTTTTCCAAGATCATAATTTGTATTTGCTTGCTCAAAAAGTGCTATAATCCTTAGCACTTTGGTCATATAAACAGTACAAGTGTAGTAATAAATGGACTACCATGAAGATCAGGGTGGGAATATGTGGTCCTCTTGGTGCAGTCCATAATCCCAGCCAGCATGGCCAATGGTCAGGGGTTTGTAGTCCATCTGGAAGATGGCCACAGATTTTCCATCCCATCCCTAGATCTCTTAGATGTCTGTAAGTTATGTAACCATTTTTGTAGTTGTGTGGATGTAATGAAGCCTATTGTGACCTGAATCAAGGCATATTTTTTTAATGGAACATACCCACTGAGCTGAACTTCTTAATGCTTATTAGAAAGTATGGACATAATGGTAGGAACTGTTACAAGATTTTTCCTTTTATCAAAATCACTAAGGATTTAGGTTATGTAAGAAGACTGAAGGATGACAGACTGTAAAGTCTCACATTCCTTCTCAACCTGCACATTATATTTCTCTGCTTTAGTAAAAGTTCTGGTGCATAAATGCAACTGGCATCATCCTGAAGCATACACTGCAGCAGACCATCTAGTCCACAACTGCTTGCATCAGCAATAAACAATATAGCATAAAGCCAGGACTTGCTTATTATTTATCTCATGATTAGATAATGATTGTGAGATAATTAATCTTGTGGAAATTAAAAAATGGCCTTCTACTTCAATGATCATTCTTTGTATTGTGCATAGTTTGACCCGTAGCTGATAGCTAAGGATCAAACTATAGGTGACTTTAAACATGATTCAAAATTATGTGTAGACAGGCTATGTTTCATTGTTTACTAAAAGCAGCCATATCCTTTCCTCTTTTCCATTTTCCCACAAACCCCCACCCAAGCTATTTATGGTTTTAAATTTTAAACCATTCCAAGAGCCAAATTGACTATGCAGGACAGTATATAAAAGCTTGTATAAAAATCCATTTTTTGGACATCAGGGAACATTTTATTTATTATTTATTAACTCTTCCATACTGTATACTGCCCAGTAGCAAAAGATCTCTGGGCTGTTTACAACTATGTGTGGTGGTAGTGGGATATTTAGTGGGGAAATGGAATAGGGTTAATTTCCCATTGTTATTCCTATCTAGCTGGGGAACACTTTTTATAAACAAAAGTGTCCAGCCTTAATATATTTTTTGAACTGTGCTTAAAGTTACCTCTAATTTAAATGCCTTATTTTAAATATTTACTGCACAGGGTTACTCTAGGTGGACAAGCACCTCTACTATGAACGTTATCATGTATTGTGCATTCAAGCTGGAAATATACACTGTTTCAGCAGTAAACTTTTCAAACAACTGCACTCACCTTTCCTGTGGACTTTCTCTTGTTGGTTGCAAAGAATGAAAAGTGAATTAACCCTTTTCAAAATGGATGTTGTCAGCATTTGTAGAATAGATATTACCCTTCCAAGTTACTTTCAAACTGCTGTTACTTTCTGATAGCAGTTTTAACGAACATGGCCAGCCTTGCCAGCTTTAGAAAGATTAACCATTTTCTCTCATTCTAGTACATGGAATTCTGGGCAAAGGGCTGTCTCCTTATCAGCAAACTCAGGTTCAGCTAGTTCATACAGAGCTCCAAAAATGACTTAGCACTTTCTCTAGGTTTTTAAACCTTTTGATAAAAGTAGACCTTTTCATAAAGCCTATTTATATGGGAATGAAGTGTACATCAATTTTGGCTAAGATGAAATTATAGTCATGTTTACAGCTAGCAAAGTTAGGGAACTTAGAAACATTGCTAGGTTTTTTTGCCTTGGCATATCTAATATTGGTGCTCTGCTAACACAATTGACATAGCACTTTAAGTGACTTCAAGCACAATGCCAATAATATGTACTGGTGTGACACATTTCTACCAGCTGGCAACATTATATGACTCTTGGGTGCCTTCAGTATTCAGTCTGAAATCAAGCATCCTAGTGAACTTGAAACATATTTTAGCAAACACCATTCTTAAAGATTTCAGTAAGCAACACAACTCATTTAATTTTTTATATAC